AATTAAAAATTAGAAAGTTCAAGATTGAATGACTAAAGTGGAATCCTTATTTTTGCTTGAAAACAACTCCTAAATCCATTCTAAAAGACAACATTATGAAACTTCAACAGCGTAAAAATGTATTAGATTATTAGAGAAGACGACATTTGTGACTATTGTAGGCTCACCGAATAAATGCATAGAATTTGCGTACATTTTCTGATGCGCTAACTTTAATTAGCAAAGTCTTAGGACCAATCCACTTAGGGTGGATTTGGTCAAGATTGGTCAGGTTACGTTGGATTACCTAAAGGGTGTCCCACGAAACATGACAATAGGAAGACGACTTGAAAGTCGTCTTTGGTATTTGAATTTATTTGTGACATTTAGTCTTCTATCTACTTTAACATGTATGATTCTTGAAACAATTATCACATAATTCTCCTAGCCCTGGCATTTCCAAAAAGTGGTCTGCGTTTTTTGTGCTTTCAATATTACCTGAGATATAAAGAGTTTGGTTCAGATTTCAATTTTGTTAAATAAAAGCAAAATTGTCGAAATCTGAACGAAATTCTTCATATCTCGGGCAATATTGAAAGCGCAAAAAAGGCAGACCACATTTTGGAAATGGCAGGACAAGGGAAATTTTGTGATTATTATCTCTAGAAATTTACTTCTAAAATTAGGTTGACAAATAAACGCAGCAAATTATATTTTAAAAATCAAGACGACATTCAAGTCGTCCTGCATACTGTCATGTTTCGTGGGACACCCTGTAACTGGTCGAAACATGACCTGTCCCTAAGATTGGTTTAGGCCAGGTTAGATCAGATTAGGTTTGGTTACCTAACTGGTCTTATACTGGTCTTAACCTGACCAGTTCCTGTCAGATTAGGTCTGATTAGGTCGAACTAGCTGTTGCGTAACCTAACTGGTCCTTACTGTTCATAACTTAACCCTTGCATGGTTGGATTACCAAACTGGTCTTAACTAATCCGGGCGCGCAACAAGAGGGGGGGGGAAAGACACCCTCCCCTAGCTTAGGGGGGTGGGGCAAGAAGTCCTAAACATGAGGTCCATATAGTTCCAAAAATATCTAATTTTCTCGAAAATTAAAAAAATATACCCCCACAGTATTTTTTTTAAACCTAACCCCATTTTTAAAGCAAACTCAAATTCACTGTAACATTTTTCATTTTAAGCTTAGATTCTTTTAATTTCGCCCCTTTTCTTTAAAAAATACCCCCAAATTGGATTTTTAAAATTACACTCACTCATTCTTATTCAAATTGCCCCACCAGACTTTAACGTGCCCCTTTGTTCAACTTTTGTAACCCTTAGTTTTTAAGATTGCTTCCAAATATTTTTTATTTGCACCTAAACTTAATTTTTGTGTTCCCAAATGTTTTATAAATACGCCCTATTTATACAGCCTATTTTGAAAATGCCCTAAAATTTAAAATTAAACCCCAAAATAAAGATTTAAGATTTTCCATACACAAAATTGCCAAAACTGAAAAAGCCGCCTTAAAATAAAATTTGCCCTTAAAACAAAGATTTAAGAGTTCCCCCAACTGAAAAATTTCCCCCAAAAAACGAAATTTACCCCTGAAATATAAATGTAAGATTTTTCCAAACATATTTGCCCCAAACTGAAAAGAATGCCCCAAATATAAAAATTTGCCCCAAAAATATTTTGAATTTATGTTGGATTAAAGGTCGGATTAAAAAAATAAAACGTATTTTAAATCCCCATTAATTAAATTTTTCAGCTGTTCACAAACGGGTTTGTAGTCCATTTTAACATTCCATATGAACAAAATCCACATGTTCAATTGTACAAATTACATATATCTTTTTCTCGCCAATTTTTATTTATTGTAGATCGTCAACCTCCAGGGTGAGATCTCCAAACCAGATTGAGAAGTTTTTCTCCTCGGGTAGGATACGGTTTGAGTTGTAGTATAACTTATACCTGGAGTAAACAAATCAATTAGTATCATGACACCATTCATCTATATATAAATTTGGCTTGTGTATGTCAGAGTCTGTCATGTGTCTGTCAGTGTCTGTTAGTGTCTGTCAGTATCTGTCAGTGTCTGTTAGTGTCTATCAGTATCTGTCAGTGTCTGTCAGTGTCTGTAAGTGTCTGTCTGTCTGTTTGTGTAGGGGGGGGCACATTTTGTGCCCCCCCCACTGGCAACATTCATGCTTCCCCCTTATAACCTCTTTTTGAAAAAATGTTTACACCTTTTTAAACTATGTAAACTATTCAATCATATATACACTTTCATATTATAATACCGATAAAAAAATATTAATGTAACTTTCTTAAACGGACTCATCAGACAATCCCTCTTAATACTGTTTCAAGGGGTGAAAATAGAGATGGAAACGTTTCTAAAAAATATCTAGATTTTCATAGGATCGATACATATTGCTTTATAAATTATGATATATATTGATTAAAGCTTTTTTAATGAAACATTTTTAGTTAAGGACAAAATTGAGATTTTAAAGTATTTATTTTATACGATGTAAATATACTTAAATGAAATACATGCATGACTTCAATTGACCCTCCATTTTTAGAGTGACATGTATAGAATGACGTCACTTTGGAAGTCCAAATGACCAAACTTTTGACTTCCAAATGACCAAACTACATTTGAACACTGAACAGAGCCTTATTTATTCTATTTGTACTACTACCCTTTAAACCTCCGCCCCCTGGAATTACATTCACACCATGACTATCCTCTACCCCCACCCCACCAAATTCGACCTCAGTGGATTGGTCAGGAATTAAGACCAGTATGAGACCAGTTAGGTAACTAAACCCCTACCTAACCTGACCAAACACAACCTAGGGGGACTGGTCATGTTCCGACCAGTTTATAGGTCTCCTGACATAACTCAACCAATCTCGACCAAATCCGACCTACGTCGATTGGTCATGTTAAGACCAGTATGAGACCAGTTAGGTAACTCGACCTAACCCGACCTAACCTGACCAAACACGACCTAGGGAGACTGCTCATGTGTTCCGACCATTTTGGTAATCTGACGTAACCCGACCTAACCTGACCTAACGCGACCTAAGGGGATGGTCATATTGCGACCAGTTTAGTAATCTGACGTTTAACCCGACCTAACCCTACCTATCTTGACCTAATGGGACTGGTTTCGCGACGTCGCTGGTTTCTAGGGTGCCGGAGCTCCACAAAATTGACATGCAGATGAAAAAAAAGAGTTCCGATCACAGTAGAAAAAAGAAAACAGTGGAAAGAAAGAATAATTTTCTAGCAGGGTTTCTATGGATTGCAAAGTTATTTGTGGATTTGAGTTTTAACGAGTAAAACGTTTCACAGTTTGAATTTTCCTTTCGTCGGAGGGTTGCAGGAGTTGCAGAGAAAATTGTCGGAACTCGGAGAAGATAATAAACAATAAATTCTCCGTGGATTGAATGTCACCATGGGTTTTATAGTTCAATTGAACAAATATGTGTGCATAAGGACTATAGTCCTTTCGAATGTTAGTCCAAATGAACTTTACAGCACAACGGTTACGGAATGTTTACTTGGTTAAGGAGTTCATGGGCAATCATTTATAGTCCTATCGATATTTCACCAAACCCAATTCGTATTAATCACGTAACCTCTTTTACTGATATCATACAGCCTTGGCAAAAATAATGCTGAGAACCTTAAAGCTATAACCAACCAATAACAATAAAAAGATTTTTCAGAGCCCGTTCTCTCAATAGAAAGTGGTCGTGTAGTTCACGTACTTTGGGGGACGATATGTTGGCCGCTAGTTGTCTCGTGCTAAATTCTTATCTGATACATAGATATTTCTTCATACAATTGACGACCAATATATATGGAGACGTCAAGTTGTCGACCAATGTAGTTTATGTTGTATGTATCCTGAAATGTCGTCTCTTAACAAAGTGTACACTCAGCTTTTGCCAAGGAAATATGGAAATATATGCCTTATTCCTATTTAGAGTACTTGTTTATCATTATCTATCCTGGTTTTTAGACGTTATCTCGCGTTTGGGAAGTTACTTAATTTTCAGAATAAGTTCTGTAAATTATTCGGGTCTGTCCTAGTATACGATTTTTGGACCCCCCCCCCCCCCCCCCCCCTCCTATCAATTTTGTACATGACAATTTATTTTTCAGCAAATTTATTATTATTTATTTTTTTGTTATTTAGGGTTAGGTTAGGTTAAGATACTTTCTGGGCCGAGCGCTGCGGCTAGGATGGGCTAGGGGGCCGAGCGCTGCGGCCACGGGTTAGGTTAAGTTAAGAAACTTCCTGTCACACCCATGTACAAAATTGATAGGAGGGGGTGGGTCCAAAAATCGTATACTAGGAAATTACCAATTATTCGTGTCATGATAATTTCGACGGGTTCATTCGTATATTTGAAAATTTTCATGGTTCAGTCAGAGAAGTCTAGATTAAGGGGAGCAAATACCAACTTTGGGTTGAACATTTTGGTAATTTAACCCAGAAGAAATAAAGGATAAATATCGTACGTGCATTTGTAGTATAAATGGATTAAATTTGGTTCATTAAAAAAATTTCAGGATGTTCTTTGGGTTCAGTTAGCTTTTTCAGCTAGGGTTTAGTGGTATTCGGGTCGATCCTAGTATACGATATTTGAACCCTCCCCCTCCTATCGCTTTGGTGCATGACCACTTATTTATAAGCAAAATTATTATTTTTTTAATGTTTTTAGGGTTAGATAAGGCAATTAGGCAATAAGGCAAGACAATTTATGGGCCGAGTGTTGCAGCTAGGACATGCTAGGGGGCCGAGCGCCGCTTATAGGACCGGCTAGGGGTCCGGGCTCTGCGGCCACATGATCAATTGTATCCGTGTCGCATATGAGATCCATGTATAAAATTGTTATGAGAGGCCCCCACCTTCTATCATCTTTGGATCACGGGCATATTTTGACACCTGGCCGCAGCGTCAGCCCCCTGGCCTGTCCATTACTTTACGGCTTAAGATTTCGTTGAAGATCACGCTTATCTTCATTTCTTGTTTTTCAGATTCTAAAAATGGGAGTTGATATTGAAACCTTGAAGCCTGGAGATGGATCAAGCTTTCCCAGGTACACTTTTCAATTTTGCAGTTTAACCAAGAAATCTGTCCTTGACAATTTTGATAACGGGTTTTTCACTGTTGTACCTTAATTTCAGTAAAAGCATTAATAAATCTAAAAATCTGCATCATTTAATATCAGTAGGTTTAGAAAACAACATTTTAGAGCAGGGTTTGAAAATCCATCCGCACGGATGGGTTTACCCTAGATTATCTTCCCTATATTCTACGAATAATTGGGTTTGGCTCTGAGGGAAAAGAGAGGGAGGTTTTTTTTAAATAGATAAGATAGAAAGATAGACTGATGAAAATATAGATAGTAAGGGAAAGGAAGAATTTTTTTAGTATTTAAAAACTTTCTGAAAAAAAATTTCTTCCGAAAATATTGATTTTTAGTCATTTGTTTTTCAGAAAACATTATCTTTAAATTAAAAAAAAAAAAAAAATTTAAAAATAATTTTGGAAAAAAATATTTTTTTTTTGAGTTTTGCATGCGCTTAAACAAACAGTACGGATGAAAAAGGGTAGATAATCTTAGGATTTAACGAATGACCAATGAAAGTTTCAGCTGTTTCAGGGTTGAGTTAGGATAGATAATCCACCCTCTATTTAGGGCGGATTTATGACTGATGAAAGTGAAACAGTACTTCCGTAATCGTGCGACAAATCTAAAACATATGATAAAACCTAGGATTTATTAATCGTAGGTTTATCCTAGAGGATTAAGATACTCTTCTGATGAAGGGGCCTCAACGCATCTTGAATTTTTTTAATTTTTAATTTTTAAATAATTATCATTAAGTTTTAATCGACATAATCGCCCCACTGCACTGCACTGTTGCAAGAAAAGTTAGGAGAGAAAAAAAAAATTTTCTGACTGCATAGACTCTATTAAAGTTTGTTAAATTATTTTCACTAAAGGCATCAAGGCATTCGCTCTGAGAGCATTAGATATTTGTGATATTTTGTAATTAGGTGTAGCCAGTAGAGGTTCGTAATGCCAGGGAGTGTCACAGAAAAAAATAAAATAGCCAATAATTCGGGAAGTAAAAAACAATCTTTTTCAAAGCTCTCTTAAATGCAGGGTGGCCAAAATGTACGGATTGTACGGATTTTTTATTTTGTAACCCTAAAATGTACGGATTGTAGGGATTGTACGGATTTTTTTTCAAATTGTACGGATTTTTATCCTGGAAATACACCGGTTTTTTTTTAAATTTTCACTCATTTCAGCAAGTTTTTCATGAAAATTTCAAAAAAAAATCTCGTCAAAATGAAGTTAGTTTAACTTAATTTCTGCATTCTAAATAATAGTAGATTGGTTAACGTTTCAATTGACAATCAAAATTCATTCATAATTTTCGAGATCCCAGAAGTGTTCATTTGAGAATATGTTCCAGAAGTGTTCATTTGAGAATGTGTTTATCTATCTGTCTATCTGTCTAGCTATCTGTCTAGATAACTGTCTATCTATCTGTCTATCTATCTGTCTATCTATCTTTCTATCTATCTGTCTAGCTCTCTGTCTAGCTATATGTCTAGCTATATGTCTAGCTATCTATCTAGCTATGTGTCTATCCATCTGTCTATCCATCTGTATATCTATCTTCATGTCAGTTTATCTATCTTTTTATTCATCTGTTTATATATCCTATCTGTCTCTCTGTTTATCTAAATGTGTATGTGTCTATCTGTTTCTCTGTCTATCTATCTGTCTGTCTGTTTATCTATCTATCTATCTGTCTCTTTATCAGATCTGAGAACATCCTCTCAGGTTTCTTCCGTTTATCTGTAAATCTTTTCATTTTTAGTTTAATATCAACTTTCTTTTAATTGAGTGTGCAACCCCTGTACCACGCTATTTTTAATTATATTAGATCCTAAATCTACACTCCACTCTTTCTAATTATAACTTAATTGTTTGGTTGTTAAATGGCCTACACACTGATCTAAACAGTTTTAAAAATTAGAATCAACGCTCTTTAGTTCTCTAGTTTTCTAGTTCTCTGGTACTCTGGTTCTCTAGTTCTCTAGTTCTCTAGTTCGCTATTATCTAGTTCTCTAGTTCTCTGGTTCTCTGGTTTTCTAATTCTCGGGTTCCTAGTTCTTTAGTTCTCTAGTTCTCTAGTTCTCTATTATCTAGTTCATTAGTTCTCTAGTTCTCTGGTTCTCTGGTTCTCTAATTCTCTAGTTCTTCAGTTCTCTAGTTCTTTAGTTATCTAGTTCTTTAGTTCTCTAGTTCTCTAGTTCTCTAGAGATTTTTTTTAAGATGTACGGATTTGTTCAAAAAAATGTACGGATTGTACGGATTTTTTTTCGAAAATTGTACGGATTGTACGGATTTCCTCTGAAAATGTACGGATTTATGTACGGATTTTTGTACGGATTTTTTCAAAAAAGTTTTGGCCACCCTGTAAATGTGTTGTTTAAACCTGTTTTACTAAAGTTCTCTAGAAAAATGTTTAGGAATCTTTTTTGCAATTAATCTGTATTTTTGAATATTTGTCAAATCTTGGTCCAGGAACCATACTTTGGAGTTTCAGATAATAAAGACACAGGGGTGTTTATTTTCTTAAAAAATCGTTTTATCCCCCCCCCTGTCCTCTTATAGGTTTTTTGCTAAATTTGGAGAAAGTATCTGATTTTGGGGTAAAATTACCTAAAAGAATGAAAAAACTTACCTTTTTCCTTTTTTTCTTTTCTCAATTTTGAAAAATATACACCCCTGTAGTTGCACTGACATGAATCAGATTTTATGAAAATAACAATGTTTTTAGATTTAATTGTGAACTACTTATCTTACATTTATATAATATTTTTTCATATTGCAAGATGTAAATTTAAAGAACCTTTCCCCATGATTCGCTGAGTAAGTTTTGTTCCACTTATTTTTTAAGAAGTTTAAAAATCCTTGAAAGTTGATCAAATGATGATGAAATTGATGATCAAAAATATGCTTCCGAGGTACCAAGATTAAAAATGAAATAAAAATATTTAAGAGGGAGGGGGGGGGGGTCTTACAATTTACAAACACTCCTAGACAAAAGATGGCGCATATAAAGCTTGGAAAATTGACCAGGTGTAAAGAAAATGAACAGTCTTTTTAGACAAAATATATAATTTAACTTTTGCAAGAATAGAAAATGCTATATTTTATAAAATTTGAAATATGGGTAAATTTGTTTGGAATCGGTGCTTAAGTCGGTTCTTATCATTTTAGCTTGAGTTTAATTTCTAAACGTTAGGAATTTTAACTGTTTTGGTTAGTTTTTTAATAAAACTTCCAACACTTAAAAATTAATTTTTTTAAAGTTTGCTTTTTATATTTTGTTAATTTTTTATGCTACGAACCAAAAAAAACTATCTTTTATTTAACACATTTGTTCTTTGTTCGTTTTTATTTGTTTATTGCAAATATTATCTTTCTGATTCAAAATATGGCAATGTGTAAGAAAAGCAAATGTTTCGAATATGAAATTTGCAAAACTCTCAGATTTTGTTAAACCTTTTATTAGTCCAGAAACCTTCTAAAACGAACCCACTTATTGCACATCACTTATTGAGGGTCGACCTTATTTTTATTTTTGAATGCTTGCATCCAAACATTCTTACTTATTAACATTGTGTTATTGATTCTTAAAGGGGGGGGGGGGGGTTTTTGATGCTGAATGAAATTAGACATCAGTTGGCCAGTTTTCCCATTTCTTGATACCAAATTTCATTTACATTCCCCGAAATATTATAAGGTATCATCTGGGGGGAAAAATCATGTTTAAGAGAGGGAGGGGGAGCGGGGATAATATAGAGAAAACATATACCCATGTGTTGGCAGAATTGAAATCATAAATTCTATAATTGACATTGCATCATAATGTATTTCACTCAATATGTTTGATACAGGTTGTCCACATCATTTCGGATCATGAATCATTTTTAAAAATTTATAAGCCTATAGTAAAAATTTGCATGCAGAAAACACTAGGATTTTTGATTATTATGTGCATATTTCACCGTTATATCTTGGAGATCATCCAATATTATATGGAACTCTCTGTAGCTAAGGAGGACTTTATTTATGTTTGGTGTTTAGGGTTTAGGGAACACGACTTAATTAAAAAACGCCCAGGAAAAAAAATTGAGTTCGTTACATGAATACTGAATATTCATGATTTGGTTGATTGCCAAGTATATAATATTTCTCTTGTAGGGGAGGTCAGACAGTGACCTGTCACTATGTATTGACCCTGACCAACGGTAAGAAGATTGATAGCTCGAGGGACAGGGGGCAACCCTTCAAGTTCAAGATTGGACGTCAAGAGGTAACACAACTCAACATCGAACTGTAAATCATTTAATACAATAATGTTGATATATTTTGTGTTGTCTGGGTGTGAAATGCTCTTGTTAATGTGTATTGTTCTATAAGAAATTGTTCCTGTTCTTAAAGAAAACTTGTAACTGTATTATTGGAAAGCTCTAAATTTCAGTTATTTCAAGGTGTACATGTTTTTCTACGCCTCATACTTTTTTTTGTTACAACCACTTCTTATAAGTTTTAGAATAAGGCAAAAATCTAAAGCAAAAAGTTTAACAATTTTTGTCCAGCTGGGTTAGATAAAAAAATTTTTGATTAAAAAGCGAGCTGTGGATTGTTAAATGTACTGATTGATTTCCAAAAAAAATATTTTTAGATAATTTTGGTCGACTTTGCAAGTTTGTACGGACCTATGTCGGTACCATAGCTTTCATTTATTTATATTTTAAAACTGTGATTTCATTTTTAGACTGATCTAGCTCAAAAAATGATTATCGAGTATCCAAAATTTTGGAAAATAAAAACTACAGCCTCAGACTAACAGCTTACTTAAAAAAATTATGAATTTCTGTCAATTTTTGGCAATGATTTATGAACTTGAACAAAAATAAATGTGAAATCAAACATTAGAAAAATCTGTGAAAACTATGTTCGAATTATACTCAAAGAAGTGATTGTAACATAAAAAGCATGAAGCCTAAAAGAAAAATCAACAATGAAATAACTGAAATATGAAGCTTTCTAATGACACTTGAATTGGAAAATTAATTAAACAAAAATTGGTTCCTCAGAACAAAGGGTTTTTGGACACCTGTTAACTATCAGCAAGCTAGCTAGGAACATTCCCGGGGTTCTATCGAATTTCTCTATCTAAATTTGAGGCAAATTTTATTAATCCCGGCCCTTAGAAATATCTTTGAACAGTAAGGTAGACTTAGCTGGGAAAATGGGATATTGTGAGGATTTCGAATTAGGTTACAATGCGAGCATTGTTTCTATATTACCATGTTTATTTTATACAGGGTTACCCACAAAGGACGAGACTTCAGAGAGGACAGGAACAAAATTGGTTCAGTCCTTTTTCTCTCACATTGATGGTTCCATCCAGCGTTAAACTCATGATTTTTTCCCCCCATTCATATGTTAAAAATATAGAAGACAATTTTTATGACCGAAGATGAAGTTTAAATCTCAATGTCAGAACTAAAGAGTTAGTGTCCTCTTTGAGGTCTCAGCCTTAATGGATGTAACCCTGTATAAATTCTTAATTATTTCTATTCAGGTGATCGCTGGCTGGGATGAGGGAGTTGCCAAGATGTCAAAGGGACAGAGAGCAAAGCTTACCATTAGCGCAGATCTTGGGTAATTATTCCTTTATGCTCTAAAAAATGTTGGCTACATTTTTATTAACTTTATTTATTGAATTTTTATTGCCGCTTGCAAATGAGTAAGGTATTGGTAAAAAATTCATAAATAAGATGCGTTTGGGTTCCTCTAATTTGCAGTGCAAAAACTCGAATATCTTCAAAGACCACGGAGGTAATAACTTTCCTGAGAATTATTTTAGTGTACGAGACTTTAATAACAACAATGTTACTTACAAAGCGGGGGTTTCAGCGTTGCCTAACTCGTTTACTAAAATGTCGAGAGCTTAGCTGTCTTAAAAGATATTAAAAAAATTTATTTTACTCTGCAATCTTAATATCAATGGGCATCTTTTTATAAAAACAATTTTTTTATAGGTTGTAACATTTAACCAAGCAATAGTAGTCAAGTAGAAAATGGCATTGAAAACTGATTTAAATATGAATTTTTTTGGCCAATATCTGATCCATTTGCCGCTAAATTTGGCAATAAAACATTTAAGGCCATAACTTGAGTCTTTCCCAGATGGAGCTGCTTTTTTTCAGTAAGGATATCAAAATATAATGAAATTTATTTTCATAATTGCCGAGTTTTAAAAACAAAGAAACTTAAATGGAAAATAAAGATCAATATTATTACTCTCCGGAAAATTTAAACCGTGAAAAAACATAACTTAGCAATGTCGTAGGAAGCTGATTTTATGTATGCAAACTCCAAAATATGTATATTACATGCATTTTTGGGGGTTTGAACGGATTTAAGCATAAGTGTGCGCGCGCTTGCCTTTTATGAAAAAAATGCGATTTTTTTACAGTTAATCAATCTTAACATCATTAATTGTCTTGAACATTTATCCTAATACTCGTGAAACAAATATGCGCTCAAAAAAAATGTACTCCAAAGCCTTAAAATTTCAGTGCGCGTGTGCATTAAAAGATTAAAAGTAGCATAGGATTTATATCAAATTAAAAATGGGACAATATTTATTTTGACCTCGGAAATGGATCCCTCGTGCCCAACTACCTATAAATTGACACACAACATGCTAAATATGTGTTAAGATGACGTCATTACGGAACTGCTGGCTGCTAGCACATATTTGAGTGTCATGATTCAAGTTCTAGTGCAATTAAAGATGTCAAGATTGATTTACTGTCAAAAAGTTGTATTTTTTTGACAAAAAGCGCATGCGCTCAGATCCGTTCAAAATCAAAAATGCATGTGATAAACATATTTTTGAGTTTACATACAAAAACTCAGCTTCCTACGACAATGCTAAGTTATGTTTATACATTCACTGTTTAAATTTTCCGGAGAGCAAAACGGTCAGTTTTCTAAAATTCAATTTTTTTGTCTACAATATATTTCTTGTACTGCTGTAGATTGGAGGATTGTCGTTTGTTCTATAGTTGAATAATATTTTGTAGGTATGGGTCAAGCGGAGTTTCTGGTATGATCCCTCCCAATTCCACTCTTGTCTTCGACGTCGAGCTTATTGACTTTAATTAAATAGTCAGCCCCTGCTTGGCACTCGTATATCTGTGTTGTTCGTCATGATCCTAGATGAGTGTCATGGCTGAATGTTTATTCAATTATTACTTTCAAGTTTTCTTATTTCCTACTCAACTGTAATTTGTCTTTGTTTTCAAATCATTTAAGTAACAAACCACCTGTAGTCATCTTGCAGAATTTTGATTTCAATTGAGATTGGACTGAAATGATCATCAGTACTTAAGCTCTGTTTCTACGAAACAGACAATAGATTTTAAACTTGTGTTTCCAGAAGTTTGTCGGCGAAACTAGTTTGACTGAAAAAGTTGTTTGTCTTTTGGCCCTAATTCGTAATTGAGCTCGATATTTTCAAAAATAGCGTGTTTTTCTTGTTTGTTTACTTCAAAATAGTTTTCTTTTACCCTGGTATTCCTTTAAAGAGACCAGTAAACTTTCAACAAATGCATTTTTATTTTCCACCTCTGAATTTTTATACTTCTTGTTTATTGTATAATTACATTTACTGGTTATTATGGCTTCCTAAACTCTTAGAAACTTTTATTTGGAATATCTTCTTGAATTAAAAATGCTTTGTATGATTGTATTCAATAAATATAAACGCTCATCTGACTAGTTCAGCAGCTTGTAGGAATAGAATTAATTATCAGAGAAACAAATCTTGCCGTAAGTTATTGAGTTATGACCAGTTTTGTAAAAAGTGTGCAAAAAGAAAGGACCATTTCGACACTTTGTGACCCCAAATTTTGTACAGGCTTCGTATGGTATGAATAATTGAGATAGAAGGCTGAAATTTTGCATGCAGCCCTTAATTGTGGTCATCTACGTAGATAGCAAAGGAAATTTGAGAACGGAGGTCATTGACCTCCAGATAATACGGGATAATACCAATTTATTTCACTCTATTTCAATTATAAGCTAATCGGACATGTTGTTAAATTTTTGCAAACACCAAGTCATGCACTGATATAAGAGACATATATCCGAACCTCCGTTTTGACTTTCCTTCGATACGGACCTCCAAAAATGATCAAATATTAAATCAGTGAAGATAGGTCATGTGAGATATCAAATCTTAGGTTTTTTAGTGTTCTGATTCCATTCCGATACCCCTTTTTGACTAGATCATTCAAAATTTGCTGACATCTGGAGGTTGAAATATGAAACCAATGAAATAATGTATGTGAGGCATCAAATCATAAGGTTTTTGGTGTTATTATTCTATTCTAAAACCCCTTTTTGACCTCAGATTATCTAAAAGATATTTGACCTCTAGATTTCAATGACCTCCAGAGGTCAAAATACGAATTATCACCAAAAATATTTGTTCAGAGTCAGGCTTGTGCGTGGAGAATCTATGCATGAAAGTCCCGGGAAAAAAAGTTTCTGGAAAAAACCTGGAAATAAAAACATTGGAAAAAAGTCAGAATTTTCTGAAGTCCTTGGAAAAAACGTCACTGGAAATAACGTCTTGTGTTTTGGATTCCTGGGAGCCAGAACAAAAGTCCTAGAAAATTAAGTCTCGAATTGAATGTTAAGACTTTATTTCCGGAGACTTTTTAATAAAAGGACTTTTTCCACAGGAGTTTTTAGTGTGAAATTTTCGGACTTTTTCCGGAAATTTTTTTCCAGGGACTTTTTTGGCGGTTACCGTGCGGGGAGCGCAATAAAAAGTTCAGGGTTTTGTATTCCTGTAAAATTTTTGTTTTAGTACATATAAATAAGGATGAAAAAACTTCCCTTTCAATTTCAAATTTTAAATTACCCCCCCCCCCACATCATATCAAATTAGGCAACCCTATTCGTGCTCCCCCATTGAAATTAATTAATAATTCAATATTCAATTTCAAAACTGACTATTTAGCTAAAATTTTATACATTTATCTTTATGTTACAACATAGAAAATTGTTTAAAGCTCGTTATCAAACTTTGTTATTCTGAAGGTTGTCTCAACTGTTCCGTTTTCTACAGCAAATAAAATGCACTCGATAAAAATCAACTAAATTCTGACTTCTCACTGCATTATTTGAAAGGGTAGGGGCTCAATTATACCCCCTCCCTCATTAAATCTGTTAGTTTCAGGTTTTTTGGGCCCCAATTAGGGTTTCAAGGGAGAGAACAAAATTTCCTGAAATTTCGCATTTTTTCGCGGGAAAGAAATTAGCAAAAGGAAGCGAAAACGATGCGAAATTTCACTAACAAAAGCTTTGCAAAAAAAGGGAAAATTTCGTGAAAAAATGCAAAATTTTCGCTGGAAACCCTGGCCCCTATGGAGTGCAGCTGAGACCCTCCCACCGCAAAAAAAGCCCCCCCCCCCCCNNCCCCCCCTCTCAGGTGCTAGGGGAGGGCGTGCGCCCGGCCGCCCCCCCCTAGTTGCGCCTCTGGTTATATTACCTCCGTTGGAAGATTAAGAACACCAGAAATGAGAGAGCATTCAAGGGATGTAAGGGCGCGTTCTCGGGAATTTGCAACAATACCCAATTTAAAGCTTTGTCTTATCAAGTATTTTAAAAAAAATACTTTAAAATGTCACTTTTGCCCTTAACTAAAAAAGTTTCTTTGAAGAAGCATTAATCAATACTGCCTTCAGTGTAAATTTATATTTGATATCATAATTTTTAATATAAAATCCTATTAAATTAGATTCTTGTATATCTGTATACAATATTTATCGCAATTCTCATGAAAATAGAAGATAATTTTTCAGAAACATTTCCATCTATAATTTTGATCCTTTGAAGCTTACACCACAGTATTAAGAGGGCATTGCCTGATTTTGTCCCCNCAAGAAAATTACAGAAATTATTTATAACGCGCGTAATATGGAAGTTTGTTTATGATCGATATAGTTAAAAAGGTATAAATTTTTTCAAAAAAGGGGGTTTTAACATTTTTTTTGTGCGCGTGCTCCCCTCCCCCATACGACCCCTTCACAAGTAGATCATAAGCCGCCCCATGTTGCTATGAAATGAATAAATTTTTCATTAAACAATAAACATATGTTGAAAAATGTATTGTGTTCTGTTGGTGCACATAATTCCTGTAATGTTCAATCGGGATACAAACCTGTTGGTGTCTGTAATTGTACAATTTTAATCCATTTAAAAACGTTTTAAAAGAATAGTGAGAAGTGAAAATGTGTATAAGTTCAATCACACATTAGTGCAGTCCATATAGCATCGTATCTATCTATCATATGAAGCATGGATGTAATGGATCGCGGCAGTTTCGCTTGACAGTAGCAGTATTGATTTTAATTCTGCCGAGAAAGCTTAATTCTGAACAGTTGGTGGCCTAGACACGGGATACTGATAGATCCTTCAAAATTAAAATTCACTAATTATCCTCTTACTCTTGAGTTGTAATCATCTTACAATAGCAACAAAATGTCGAATAATTACCGTTAAACAACTTGTCTGTTGGTATTTATTTCATTTTAGACTGGCTCAGAGGCGTATTCAGGGGAGGGGGACTATGGGGCTAAGCACTTACTGTATCAGTGAAATACGGTTTAATCTTAGAGAAAGAGGACCGGGCGCCGTGGCCACAAGTCATAGTTTGACCATGTACATTTTTATGAAGGCCTGTCGAGGTCCAAAAATCGTTTTCTAGGAAAGTACATGAAACAATGTTTTTCATTGTTATTTAGGGCCCAAAGGGTGCCAACCCCCCCCCCCCCCCCCCCCACTGTACAGGAATAAAGTTCTACGGCCCTTGAAAAGATCCTGAGTACGCTCCTGGCTGGTATGGGAAGGCTAGGGGATAATGGGGATAATGACATCCACCCCTGACCACACTTTATGGAAAAGCGAAAGGGAAACAATGACAAATTGTTATTTTTTTTTATTTTTTCCAATACATTGCTAAGGATTGTCACTTCTATACAAATGGCATTTTTTTGTCCCGTTTTATCCTTGAAGGTACAGGGTGTCCCACGAGACATGACAGTATAAAGACGACTTGAAAGTCGTCTTTGATGTTTTAATTTATTGGTGACATTCATTTGTCAACCTACTTGATTCTTGAAACAATAACCACAAAATCATCCTAGTTCTGACTTTTTTGTGCTGTCAATACTAAAGGAGATATTAAGAACTTCGTTCAGATTTTAATTTTAACAAATTAAACCAAAATTGTTGAAATCTAAAGGAAATTCTTCATATCTCCAGAAAAATAACAAGCTCATGAAAGGCAGACCACATTTTGAAAATGCCAAGACTAGGGGTATTTTGTAATTATTAATTCTAGAATTCTACTTCTACAATTAGGTATACGAAGAAATGTCTCAATTTATTTTAAAAATCAATGACGACCTTTAGGCCGTATTGCTACTGTCATGTTTCTTTGGACACCCTATATTATTAGAGACAAATTAAAATTTAACTCTTCTTTTTTTCCAATAAAAAGAATTGGATTCAAACGGGTTAATTATCTTACTGCACGCTTTTTTGTCTGGTGTATTACAGTTCCCGGAAGAAGACATTCCAAACTATTTACCAACTGTCAAATCCAGTGTTTGACCTTCTAATTACTTTAATTACCTCTAATGACCTTAATGACCTCCAAAAATGAAAATATTTTAAATATGGCTTTATGCATATCAAACGAAAGCTAGTAACCCAGGAAATACAGGAGCAGCAACGAGTATTGAGGAACTTTTCATTGCTGAAAAAAAGCTTACGTGTTCCTTAATTTTTAGTCCTTTCCTACTTTTGTGGAATTTATGAACTCATATGGTTTTGCACCACATTATGTACATCTGGACTAGACCGGTCTCTTGCAGCACATACCCTATGGGAGAGATGTGCTATACCAGCTATACTGTATGCGGTTGAATCCATGGTGTTATCCAACAGTGTCACTAGAAAGCTAGACAGCATCCAGCACCAGGTTGCACGGTTCATCCTGCAATTACCAATTTCGTCGTCCAAAGTAGTTGGGTACATGGATGCGGGGTTTAAACCAATGCGTGACAGGATTAAGGAGAGAGTCGCTTTATATGTGTGGGAAATCATGCATAAAAAACGGGATCCTATTTTGTCCGATACATTCGACGCGGTGATCGGAGCACGTGACGACCCGTGGGCGAGAATGGTTGGAGACCTGATTGCTGATTTGGGACTGGATGTGTTTGAAGGTCCTAAAACTAGGCTGAAGAAGAGGCTTATCGAAATGTCAATAAAAGGGGTCTTGGAGCAGAAAAGGCAGTGTGTGTCTCTCAACTGTATGCCAACCCCTCAGATCTGGTTCAAACTCCAGCCACATGTTTGTGATAGCAAGGTAGGGGGTGTATTGAACAGATTGAGAGCCGGGGATGCAGGGCTAGGAAATCGACGCCCAAACATCCATGGTTCCGCCACTAAATGGTGTCCGCTATGCCTAAATAACATCATGTTGTTGTAGCCTGTCAAGCAGTAGCTTATGAGAGGTCTAAAACAGGGCTGGGAGTCCTTATGTCAGGGAGGCCACGCAGTAGCACGGCAATCCTTACTGGGATGTTAGGGGGAGATAATGTCTCAAAGGAAGTGCTGTTGAAAAGGACCGAAAAGATAAATTTGCTGCTGGAGCGGTGGATGGACTTGGCAGGAACAGCTTAAATTCGGGTAACCTCTTTACTTCGCCTAAAGGGTTGTTAGATACCAATCATCCAATGGAGCTAATTGATGAGCCACTGGCTGGAATGTATCTCCTTTGTATCTTCTGACAATGGGCTAATTGTTGTAGGTAAAAAGGTCCAGTTAGAGTAGGAGTGGGACGGTGCTTCCCATCCCTGCCGGCGGTCTGGGGGGTTCATAACGGGACCTCTTTCAGATTTCTTTTCCTTATAGTTCCTTATATGTACATGAGGAGTACAAATATCCTTTTTATACCCAACTTTGCATATTTTAATGTTTAATCTTTTCAATTTCAGGCAAATGAGTTTAAAAGAAAGTACAATTGAAAAAACTTAAATCAAGGTAATAAAAATTATCAGTTATTTAATGGTGTTTCGACATTTTAAAGAAAGGAAATTTTGCAGCTTAATAGAAGAATTTTCTTAGAAAAGGTAGATTTTTTTCTTTTTCAAAATTATTTGAATATTATGCAATATGCAGTAAAAATTGTTACTATTACGATTTCTTTTTGTCTATGAAATGTTCTATAAAACCCACCTGGCTCTAAATGCCGCACAGGGACACAAGTGTAGCTATCTACCAAGCTATTATTTCAAATAGGACCCAACCCACCTGGCTCTAAATTTGGGAGCTCTTTCAATGAAGTCTTGTACTCTTTCTATTGTACTTTTTTTGATATCACACATCTCCTCTTATGTATCCTCGTTTGCTTGCCCTGTTTTCACTATTTTCTGTAGATCTTCCATACATTGCTGTGATTCATCCATCTTCTTGTTCTGTTCCAACATTGTTTTTACTTTTAGGATCTTTTTTCCTTTTCTTAATTCTCTTTCCAATTTCTTCAATATATATTAAAGTGCTTGTTCTATTATCTGCCTCAGGGCTTCTAATCTTTACATTAAGGTTTCCACCCGCTTTTCCAGTTTCCTTCATATTTGAAATTCTGATGTACGGTTCTCCACCGTGTCTTCGAGGGTACAAATAAAAACTGTCCATTGTTACACTCTGTTTATACTGTCCACAACTTGTTGCTTCATTGCTCCTTGGAGTCTGTAGTATTTACGTTTTATTGAACATTTGGCAAGCCATTCAGAGCACAAATTGACGCCGAGCTATATAACACCATTGCCCTCTATAATCCATCGTTTACAAAGGTGTAAGATATTTTCCAAAGGAATTTTTCTAAGAGTGGCTTCCCAAGTGACATTTCCTAAGTAGCAACTTCCCAAGTATCAATTTCCCATTTATCAATTTCCCAAATGTACAATTTCCCAAGCAGCAACTTCCCAAAGGTTAGGTTAGGCATTCTAAGGCTGAAATGGTGTGAGGTCGAGTGCTGTGGCTATGACGGGCTAGGCAGCCGAACGCTATGGCTAGGTGAAATAATTGGGAAGTTGCTGCTAGGGAAATTATACAGTTGCCACTTGGGAAAAAAACCTTTAGGAAAGTACCGAACATTGTTTATGAAGCAATATATTCATTTTATTGATATGTATTGTTTTAAGATGAGCAACAATCACAGCGTGTACAGTGTACCAGCACCGACCATCAGTCATCTCATGTATGCATTTGAGGTTCGTTTTTATTTTATTTCATAAAATTGATGTTCTGCAATATTACTTGTCTGCAAAAAATGGGAAAAATGTGCACATAGTGCAATTTGTTCGTCCATCTTGTACGACATTGAAAGTATTAGCAGGAGGAGGGAAATGAACCCATATTCGGAATTCAAGTGGAAAACGCAACATTTTTCTCTAGTTCTTCAGTTTTAGAAGGAGAAAGTTGTTCGCCTTTGCCTTGAAGTAATAGTTACTGAAATTAAAATTTATAATCTAGGCAACATTATGATGCTTTCTCAAAAAATGAATATATCTTTTATTTTTCTTCCAGCTTATGCCAAAAAGATTCTAAAAAATATTTTGGAATACCCTGTATGTAAAAATTATTTCAAGGTGTCCCCTTCTCTTCCTTTAATTCAAGACGATGACGAAGAAGAATATGCTTTCCTCAGGTACGCCAAACAAAGCTGATTTGCAATCTCAGGGTTTCTTATAGAAGTTGTAATTTTACCAGTTATTACCAGATTCAAAATCCTTGGATCAGAGTTCAGGGCTGGGTTGACTCTCTTCATTTCTAAAGATTATGTTCCCAAAATGAAGATTCAAAGAAACAAGAGATTTTGTTTAAATATCTGTTATCTGTACATTGTTAAACACTAGTTGCTATTAATTATTTCCGACTCGAAGATAATAGAGAAATCTATTGATGATATTTAGTTAATTTTTTCAACATTCATCGTTATTTTCTTTTATTCTTAATTTTCATGAAGAGTCTGTTTTAGACGACTTCTTCACACCCGTGAGCTTCATGCACTTGTTAAAGCTTATGATGCAATCCTTCTCACAAATGCAGAAATAGGTAAAATTAAGATATTATATGTATTTTGCATATTTGAAGGTGATTGATTTCAGCAAGATATTGATCATGCACATGGTGTGCAATCTTTTAATTTTGAATGCTGTACATGCAAATTGCATGCATATTTTGTTTCGCACTTTGAGGCATAAAAGTTTATTTTTCAGGTCCTTCTTTATCTAATGTGAAGGAGATATGTGACGAGGTTCTCACAGGTACAGTATTAGTATAATTCAAGACAGAGAGGATCGTCATAAATTGACAAGAGAAAGAATATTAGCAGAATATTCTCCCCCTTTTTGAGGGGAAATTATTATTTTTTTACTATGGAATATGCATTTTTGCGCGGAGTGGCAAACATATTTTTAGGGTTTTATCGCTAAATTGAGGAAAATAGATAATTTTTAGGGGAAAAGAAATAAATCCTTAGGTTAAAATCATCAAAAAGGATGAGAAATTTGCCGATTTTTTGAATTATTTTGTAATTGTGTTAAGTACATTTTGCACTATTATGTATTCTTAACTTATTCTTATTATATGCCTTGTCAAGAATATTTCTCAATTAATTTATATCATAAGCTATTTATCTTAACTCAAATTAAAGAAATTCCTTATTAAAAACTTGGGGAAAATTCGCAAAATAGTTTTTAGGATATGTACTTTTTATTTTAATTTGTAAGTAATAAAAATACTTTTAAAACAGTCTTAAAGTTGTTCAATTACCATGAATGGGTCAGAACGGTATGAAAGAAATAGTGCATTCTTGTACCAATAGTTAAAGATTTTTTCGCCTTTCAAAACAGACAAAATCTTTTTGGTTTGAATATAGATTTATTTGGATTTATTTAGATATTCGTCCTTATGCTGTCATGAACGATGAAGTTAACGATCTATACACCCTTCTACAGAGTCCATTTATACAGGTTTTAGAGAAAGTTTAATACTTTTGTGACTAATATTTGTTTTTATCCGTGTATTTTTTTTATGCCAACTGGTTGATATGTTGTTTAGCATTTAATTTAATTATGGTTATTACAATATTATTGGCGCAACTAAGACCTTATTATTGGAGAAAGGGGGGGTGAGTTGAAAAAACACCTTTGCCCCACCCACATATATAGTTACATTCTATACATACATAATTAGCAATACATTTTCTCTGAGAAATATTTTTGGAACTTTAACTTTATTGTAATGGAGACATTTCTATAGGCTCTGATACAAACTCATGACACTATTGCAAAACGAGATTTTGTTCCTAAGTTAACAGGTATAGGATATTTTTTTAATTTTAAGTATTCATGATAAAACAAAGCCGATTGACGTTGATCTAGGAATCCCTCTGGAAGTAGATGAGGACGAAGAAACTATAAAGATTGTCCAGCTTGTTAAAAGTCAGGATACGCTTCTAGGAGAAAGAAATTCAGAACCCATAGTTGGTGCAACAATTAAGGTATTTAATCTAGAATTCTTTTAAGGGAAGGTGGACAGAGAAAAAATAATTGCATGGTTTTACCTTTCTAACATATTGGGAACACTATAGGGTGGTGGGGGGTTGAATGTTTTTTTTTATTTTTTAAATTATTTTTATTTTAACCTGACAGCTACTTTGGTAATGAGTTTAAAACACAACTATGAATGTCTTATTCAATGTATTTTATCTGTTCTTACTCGGGAAATAACTTCTTTATTTTCAGGCCGAGGAAGGTACAGGACGGATACTGATTGCAAGGGTTATGCATGGTGGCGCTGCGGACAGATCAGGTTTTAGGCATTTTAACACTGATTCCACAAGGTTTTTCTAAGATGGACGTTTAAAATGTTAGTCTATTTAGGGTTGATTGCTGTTGGAGATGAAGTGATTGAGGTGAACAATATCAATGTTGAGGGGAAAACTCCAAATGATGTGCTCAAGATACTACAGGTACAAGATTGATTGATAACCTTGTCCGTTTTCCTTGTATTTCTTAACTTCAGAAAGTATCTTCTTGTTCTGGCGTTTGGGACAAAAATCTTTACGATATTCAGCACGGTCTTGTGTCGCAAGCGATGTTTTGGAACAATTTTTAAGATTTTAGTACAGTTGGGTCCCACAGCACAATCCCACTCCCTCAATTACGTAATATCGTCCTAAGTCCTGCCTGTATTTTATGCCATTAACATGTGAATTACAGTGAGAGTCTCGGAGCTGCAAGGCTTAAAATAAAAATCTAATTCTACAGACTATAGACATGCACCTCAAGGCTAAAAATAAGGAAACCGTATTATTTTTTGTTGGAATTTGTATTTGATGGTTTAAACTTAACAAAAGTTTGATCGCCGTTGCCTCAAATATTACTAAATTTATACTAGCTTCAAGTTTCTCCAAAGAGAACATAAATTCAGACTTTTTGTGTTATTCTCCATTTTCAACCCATATTGCAGTACATTACGCAAATACACTTACATTAAGATATAATATTTTTCTCTGTGGAACAATATGGCTTAATTCTTAAAGTAAAGTGTAGAAAGTTTGTAGTACTAGACAGCTGAGTACAGGATGAATAGGACAAGACACATGTCTGTACTGTACCGGTCTGTACTGTACTGTACTGTATTATTCTGTACTGGATTGGATTTGACTGGACTTTGACTGGACTTTGACTGGACTTTGACTGGACTAGAATGGACTGGACTGGACTGGACTGGACTGGACTGGACTGGACTGGACTGCACAGTATTGCATTCAACTGCACTCGACGGTGTTGCATTGTTTATTATTGTTGATCTTGATTTAGGAGGCTGAACATACGATAACTTTCAAGTTAGTCCCTAGTGCTGGAAAGCCATTACTCCGTGAATCCAGGTATTCACTTTTAGATTCATACCTATCTTGCGGAAATCCAAATCCTGATCAGGTCATTTCTTTCAGATGGAAACAATAGAACAATTGTCTAATTATTTGTTTCTCCTATTTTTTGCTTATTTTTATGATAAAACTTGATGAACCATTCAGAGATTTTGATGATCTTTACTAAATATCAACACTTTAGATTCGGTTGTGATATCAAAGAGATTTTTTTACAGTTTTTGGTTGATTTTTGCCCTTTTAGATCAGGATCCTTGGCTTTGTCTAGGCCTGTCAAATCCTAACCATTTTGTAACATTTTTAAAATCTTATCTGAAGTCAGAATTTATCAACTTTATAAGGGCCCAAATATGATATCTAGATCAAGCGTTTAATATTAATGATACTTCCAACAAAATTTCCGATCTCTCAAGTCTCAAAGCAGGATTAAGTTTTAACCAAACTTAAGTTGAGTCTAATCCTAAAATGGTATATTCTGTAGAGTTCGGTTGAAGGCTCTATTTGATTACAACCCATATGAAGACAAGTATATTCCTTGTAAAGAAGCTGGACTTCCATTTGTTAAAGGAGATATCATTCATATTGTTTCCCAGGTTAGTCACTAATTAATTAGTATTTACAAGGTGTCTCTAAACAATCGGAGTGTTATCCAGAGCCTCAAATTTGGACCAATATTTGAGGAAGTCCAAACTTCAAATGTAAATGAAAGGGGATGGTGGAGTTGGCATGTTTGATGAAGGGGGGGGGGGCCCTGCCTTTATTTTTGGTTCAAATCTTCCAATATTTTGGCTGCACGCCTAATTAGTGATCAAAATTCCTAAAATAAAATCAAATTGAATTTTAATAAGCTAAAATGACCTCCACAAATAGAAAATATTTCAACTAGGGCTTTATGCATATCAAAAGAAAGCTAGGAACCCAGGGAACACAGTAGCCGCAACAAATCCAGTGTTTAACCTTCTAATGACCTCTTACGACCTCTAATGACCTAAATGACCTCCAAAAATGAAAATCTTAACTATGGCTTTATGCATATCAAACAAAAGCTAGGAACCCAGGGACAGTAGCAGCAATAAATCCAGTGTTTGACCTCTAATGACCTAAATGACCTCCAGAAATGAAAATGTTATATTTATGGCTTCATGCATATCAATAAAAAGCTTGGAACCCAGGAATACAGAAGCAGCAACGAATCTGTAGGTCATTTAGGTCATTAGAGGTCGTAAGAGGTCATTAGAAGGTCAACACTGGATTTGTTGCTGCTACTGTATTCCCTGGGTTTCTAGCTTTCATTTGATATGCATAACGCCATAGTTTAAACATTTTCATTTTTGGAGGTCATTTAGATCATTAGAGGTCGTAAGAGGTCATTAGAAGGTCAAACACTGGATTTGTTGCTGCTACTGTATTCCCTGGGTTCCTAGCTTTCGTTTGATATGCATAAAGCCATAGTTGAAATATTTTCTATTTGTGGAGGTCATTAGAGGTCATTAGAGGTCATTAAAGGTCATTAAAATTCAATTTTATTTTAATTAGGAATTTCGATCACTAATTAGGCGTGCAGTAAAAAAATTGGAAGATTTGAACTAAAAATGAAGGCACCCCCCCTCCGCCCTACATGAAACATGCCATCTCCTTTACAACGAAAATTATTTTTCCCCAAACCGGNGGGGTCTTTCAGATCTCTTTCCTGATATTCCTGATTGGACCAAAATTAAGGCTCTAGCAACCACTACGTTTCTTTAGCACCGCGTAAATATTCACTGAGAGGAAGAAATATTTAGTATGTAAATTTATTTTGTGGAAGCAATATTTTAAGAAATAGTATAAGAAATATTTCTGTTAAAAAATGATTTCTTCTCTACATTCTTTGCTATATCAAAAAATGTATTACATCAATGCCGTGATTATATATGTTAAAGGGACAGTAAGTATAATTTCCATAAAAAGATGGAATTTACAATGGTTCCCTTTAAAAATAAAAATCCCTGTTAATAATTTTAAAACTGATAATTTTTAATTTTGATTTCTTTATAAAAGAGACTTGCTTCACTCTACTGCATGAAAACAATAGAGAATTAAACAGAATCAACTATTTTTTAAACTAAATTAACCAACTACGTTTTCTTCCACATTATTGATAAGATTAAGGTTTCAAGTTTCAAGTTATGATTGAGGCTTATTTTGAAATGACGCCTACAGTCCAGGGTTTCCAGCGAACGTTTCGCGAAAAAATGCGAACATCTTCGTTCGTATTTCGCAATCTTTTTCGCGAAATTTCGCATTTTTTCCCGAAATGAAGGAATTAAAAATGCGAAAATGAAGTGAAATTTTTGCATTATTTTTTTCTCGAAATTTTCTCATTTCGTTTTTTTTGCTAAAATAATGCTTTTCTTGTGAAGCAAATTTAAGCGAAATTTCGCGAAAAAAGCGAAAATTTTCGCATTTTTCGTGAGCGAACGAAATGCAAAAAAATGCGAAATTTTCGCGAAACTATTTTCCTTTTTCGCTGGAAACCCTTCTATAGTGCCTTTAAATTTATCTTAATTCAGGACGATCCTTACTGGTGGCAGGCTAGACGAGAGTGGGACAGAAGTATGAGGGCAGGGCTTATACCCAGTCGGGCTCTTCAGGTAGATGTTTGTTGGGATGATTTAGTCTCACTCTAGTCTTGTAAAATTGCTTAACCTAGTCCTAAATGACATTCTTGACTCAGCCAAGATGATTATTGAAGAAGGAATAAGGAAAACTAATTCTATCAGAGGTACAAAATATCGTTTAATAAATGATGCTCTAAACTGGTAGTTTCGCGCGCTCAAAATGTGTAGCTGGAATCCCTGTAAAACTTATAAATTGACAAATCAATTTATTATATTCCCATTCTTGACAATAACATCCAAGTTTGAATAAAAACATATTTCCACCGTGACTTCCATTTTTATATGAAGAAACTATAGTTCAATTTAAATTTTACAGGAGAGACGGATAATGCATGAGAGGAGTGATAAGAAAGATGATGCTGTTAAACCCATGTCTCTTTGTGGCGTAGGTAAATTTAGAAGCTTTTTTAAGATTTTTTACGTGTTTCTAGAATTTTTATTTAATCCCCCGATTTTGCTAAGTAACAATACATTACTAGGATCGATAAAAAGCAACACCCAATTTTCGTGTAGATCGGTTGCCGAATTATATTAGTAAGTCAAGGTCAAACAATCTATTATAAACTTTATCTTTTTTTCAGGCTAAAAAAATGGTTTTTAATTTAAATTCAGAAATAGCGATTTGAAACGAAATTTTTTGAGTTTTCTTGGTCTTTTTGGAATTTTCAAATGCAAGCATCAAAACTAATATAATTTTAAGAAATATAATTAACAAAAACAAAAGAAAAATCGGAATTTAAATGTTTCTTTCCATGTTCACTATACCCGAAAATATCCACCCTGTAGGTTTTCAAAGTATTTGATTATTTATATCAACTTTACTCTCAATTAATTTTCTTTTTAAACTTTCTAAAACTTAGAACTTCATCTTGCAAAAGAAAAGTATCAAATTAATTATTTTTACATTAAAAAAATATGCGTCTCATTTTGGAAAAATTACCCTGGAATATTTTATTAATTTTTTATTAATTGTTTTTTTCTTGCGTTAAAATTTGGAATTTAAAAAAGTGCTACATTTTGCAGGTTAAAAATGGTGTTGTAACCCCGAGTATTATATATTTATTTTAATGTTTATCTTTATAAGGAAAAATTCTAGAAGAGGATAGTGGATTGTCAGGGGATGCTTATGTTTGTTCGTCTCCATCTACTCCAGGTGATTATCATTTTCGTTTTATTGTACAATTCCCTGGTGAATATTGATTTAAGTCATGTCCTTAAGATCCGGATATGAAATATTTTGGCTTCTGGATCCGGATCCGGCTCCAAGAGGCAAAACACCAACCCAAACTTGCTAAAAATTTACTTAATGCTCTCATAACACTGCAGTGCTTAGGATCCGGATCCGTTGGATCCGCAAGATTTTGGCTTCCTGGATCCGGATCCGCAAAAATATGCGGATCCACGGGTAAAATATCAACCAAAAACTGCGAAAATAAACTTTTTTACTTCTAAAACACCAAATCTGAACTTTTGAAAACGCGAGATTATAAAAATGTCCTCATTTCTGAATGGTTCATCAAGTTTTAGGATAAAAATAAGCGGGGGAAAAGATTAAAATTTTTTGTTAGAAAATTCAGTAAATCATAAAGAAATAACCTGGATCCATTTTTTCCAAAGCGGATCCAGGATCCGGATCCGGATCTGCATCAAAATCAAATGGATTCTAAGCACTGCATAACAGAAATGTTGAGATTTGTAAACCTAAAAAGCGACTTTTTAAAATTTCATTATCTCTTATGGTTCCTTAGGACCTCACTAGTTATAACCTTTGTAATAATAGAAATAAATGGTGTGAACTTTGCACCTTTTATTTAAAAAATTTTTTATCAGGAGCGTAGAAAGGGCCGTTGGCACAAAACACGTGTTTATATATGAATATTTTATATCCGATATATCATTATTGTTTTCAAGGTTTTAGGTCTGACAGAATATTAGACCATGACAAAAAAGCCTAACAAGGACAGATTCAGCTTGCAGGAGGAGCCCTGTATGGTGCAGGGGCTGCCAACAGTCAAAGGGGCCGATTGATCAACATCATTCTCCTGAATTTGAAGAAAAATCAGTGCCATTAATAATAATTAATTATAGATTATTTTAAAAAGCTATTGAAGACACTTACTAAAGGATGGTATGGTTTTAAATAATCTAAAATAATTATTTTCTTAGTTTTTGACAAATAAAATCCAAGAGGGGGTGATTAGTGATATTGGATTTCTAGGCGCCCCTTTCGATAAAAATGGTTCATTTTGGATCTTTAAGCTATTGAAGACACTTAATAAAGGATAGTATGGTTTAAAATAATCTAAAATTATTATTTTCTTAGTTTTTGACAAATGTAATCCAAAAGGGGGGTGTTAAGTGATATTATTTCTCTTGACGCCGGGTTACTCATGTTCAAGTTTTTATGTCAATGGCGCAACACAAAACGGTGGGGTACATGAATTTTAACTGATCTTGACCAAAACAAAATAATCGAAAGACTTTTATAACAAACTGGAAATAGATTTATGGATATTTTGTTTTTATTTGAATGCGTGAGCTTGTGCCCACACCCCTTACCCAAAAATAAATTTCTCTTGACGCCCCTGAAAAATAATTCATTATTCATCATTTCCTTTCCTGATTTAATTTAGCATTAAAGGCACTGATTATTCTTCAATTTCAGGAGTCTGATGTGGATTAAACAGCCCCCCTGACTATTGTCTTTTTAGCCCCTGAACCATGCAGGGCTCCTCCTGCAAGCTGAATCTGTCCTTGTTATGCTTTTTTGGCTAATATTCTGTCAGACCTAAAATCTTGAAAACAATAATGATTTTGAAATTTTTTCATGCGAAGGATGTTCTTCCAAATCTAAAACGAAGAAAATTATGTACGATTTGACAGAAAACGAAGATTTTGATAGGGAAGAGATTCCAACTTATGAGGTAAAATTATACAATCTATCCCAGAGATGAGATTTTAAAAGCTTAAACTCGAGTAAAACCCAAACTCGGGCTTAAATAGAACCCAAGTCAGGATTGGTTCTGATTCCATCACTGAGAGAATGTTTAGCAAGCAGGCAGAATGCCGTCAGATCAGCTGTGACTTTGCCGTATTTAGCCAATATGTGTACTTTCCCGTTTTGCCGTATTTAGACAATTTGTGTACTTTCCCGTTTTGCCGTATTTAGCCAATATGTGTACTGTCTGTTTTGCCATATTTAGCCAATATGTGTACCGAAAATTCAAACTTTATGTAGATACATTATTTTCATAGTATGTTTATTTTATATATTTAATAAAATTTTACACCGCAAAAAATTCCCGAGATTTTAAATGTTACAAATATAAAAGATTTTACGAAAACGATCATCAGCTGCTGAAGCCTCTAGCCTGAAAGAAGGAAAACCCCAAGATGATTGGTTTTTACTAAACTCAAGGCCATCCAAAACACGGGTCTTGACTTGAGCTTTACTTGGGTCTAAGCAGACGCAAAGACCGGGTTTTACTCAGGTTTAAGCTTTTAGAATCTCATTTCTGGTCAAGTTAAAATGCATTTTGCCTGTGAAATAACTTTAATATTGTGTTAAGCTGTAAAAGGGGTGCATATTTTTATAGATTACACTGGAGGGAGGGTGATTTTTAATAATCGGGGAAGGGGGGAGGATACATCGGAAGGCTAGTTTTTTTATTCTTTTTGATAATTTCCTAAAAAAATCACTAATTCTTCCCACTTTAGCGAATAAAACCCTTAAATAAAGGTTTGCGCTCCGCACAATTACAGAGCACTTCCACTTACATGGAAAATAAATGAATTTCAAAAGGGGAGGGGGGGGGGGATAAGCTGTACTTAATTTTTGCGTCTAAGACCCCCGTTCCGTCATAAATTATAAACATTCGGATTCTATTGTGTTGGAAATCTATGAAGGTTTTTTTCTTATTAATTTTTCTTAAAACATATTCAAAATATTAAAATATTAAATTATTTACCTTCAGGAGGTAGCTCGACTGTTCCCTAGAGCTGGAAGATACAGACCAATTGTAATTATTGGACCTCCAGGTATTAAAGGGAGTCTAACAAATTCTTTCCGATGAACCTCCATTTTTAAGAGGGTCAAGCCCGATTTACGATGGTACCCTTTAAACCTTTATTTAATCAATAGTGTGGTGAATATCAACGTTTTTCTAGCTAAAAGTGTTTAATTCTCTCAATTTCCTACACTTTTTCTGTAGGACAAAATCAGCAAGTGACCTTTACATAGAAACCACAATTGATAATAACAATTTATTTAGAAAAAATCATGGTTATTTCATTCATTCCAAATCAAACGAAGTTTGAGAGAACCTTTTTAAATGGAGGCTGAGGCTCACTTAAAATTACGTCTCCAGTCCATTTAATCAAACATATATTTTCCTTACACTCTCATGAAGCTAGTTAGTGGCATTCAATAGAGGGGTGTATATTTTTAATAATCCCCCCCCCCCGGGGCCAGGGGGGAATGACTTTTATAGATCTGGAGAGAATGAAATGAAAAGGCAAAGTTTTTCTTTTTTTTGTGCTTTTCATCCATAATTTTATTTATTTTCCCCCAAATATTATTTGTTTTCTATTAAATATCCTTTATTTTTCCCAAGAATAGAATTTATTTTCCCCAATTTTGCAAATAAAAAGTTATTTTTAAACAAGGGCGTGGAGGGGGGGGGGGTTTTTCAGGCAAATAGACACCCCTAGTTCAGTATGGTTATTTGTTTGGCTATTTACAACAGAAAGAAAAATAACCAATCTACTCATTGCTTAGTTACTCTCCTAGATTATGAGATGACTGTCGCAATTGTAAAGTGAGCATTGACCATCACCTATTTCAATAATGTTTATGTTTATGTGGTGTTGATTCTCAGGACTATTATTGGAGCATAATGAGAATTTCTTGATTTCACTGTAAATGATTTTAATTTTGTTGATAGGAATTTTAATTTTGTTTCTACCCACGTAATTTACAAATTTTTAAATCTTTATATAGTTATTTAATAAGATATCTAATTATATTATTGTTAAACTAGCAGAAGGGCCCGGCGTTGCCCGTGGGAAAAATTTTTTAAAAAAATATGTTTTTAAAAAATGAAGAAAAAATTCCGATTTTTTTAGCCTTTTACACCCCCCACAGTACCCACACAAAAATTGAGCCCATTCGTTCCAACCGTTTTGCCTGCTATAGGCAACATATATATGAATATCTTGTTTTATAGATGAACAATTTTTAAAATAACAAACAAACAAACATAAGAAACAAAATAACAATATATAGTTCTCTTTGTTTTCAAATATAAATTAAATGTCTGGAATACACACATGATTTGATTTTATCTTAGGTAAAACTTGTTTCATATGTTTTCTTAACTTCTATAATATCAAAGGAATTCAACTGTTTAAAAACCATTAATTATAAATCTTTTTATATTCTCATTTTGCAATAAATAAGCAGATATTGTATTTATAAAAAGGAAAGTCTTAAGTAAGAAGTAATTGTTTGAGGAATAGGATATAAATTAGATTTGTATGCAATCACTTTGTAAAACCAAGTAGAACAGGAATACTAGAAATAGAACCAAAATACTCTTGAATAGGAATACGGCTTTTAGACTTAAATTATGAATTTAAATAGTCCAACGAACATGTGACACAGCAATTATGCAGTGTAAGTAGACTCATTTAACTCTAGTCACTAGAAAAACTATTTGCTTTGTAACAACATCTATACCGATAAATGCGTTGTTATATATATTTTATTCCAAGAAAGGTTTATAGTGAATCTTTTATATAATGAATTAAATCAGGTGTTGGTCGCAATGAGCTGAAAAGGAGATTACTGGCCTTGGAACCAGATAGAATGAAAGCTACTGTTCCTCATACATCCAGGTACCCCCCCCCCCCATATTTGTAGACATGAATATCTAAACAATGTTTAGCATATAACTTAACGAGTAATGCGGAAGTGATTTATTTTGATTAAATGCGTACTTTTCAGGACTCAGAAACAAGGCGAGGTAAATGGTGAGGATTATTTTTTCTGTTCTCGGCTTCAGATGCAGCATGATATCGACCAGGAAGGATACAGAGAATACAACTTTTGAAGAATTTTGATTAAGTGCTATGAAAACTGAAAACTAACTTATAAATTGCACGGTTGCATCTTTTATATTAAAAGATTTTCGAGCAGAAAAATATATAGGACTAGGCTTTTAGGGCGCTTCACACCCATCTTCTATTTAAATTGTGAACATGTTCTTTTTATTTACATTTTAAAACAAAGCAGAAAAAAATTTCGAGGATTTTTAAAAAAAAATTCCCGGATTTTCAAGAATTTAAATTTTACAAAATAAAAAACCTTAAAAACACATTTTTTAAAAATTTGTATCATTCGTAAACCTTCCCTGTGGTCACGTGTGTCCCACAAAAAATTTGGGCCAGATCGGTTCAGCCGTTTTGACGTTTATTGGATACAAACAAACAGACAGACAGACAAGCCAAATTTATATATAGATTACCCACAAAGGTTGAGACTTCAGTGACGATTGTACAGAATTTATTCAATCTTTTTTCTTAGGTTGATGGTTTCCTGCATCTGTACACTTATTTCTTTTTTGCCAAACCATTTAATGTGCCATTTAAAGACTTTTTCCATGCCAGTAACCTGTATTCAACCTCCAGAGTGCTTGATTTAAAGAGTTTTAGGTCGTCATTGAAGTCTCATTCTTTGTGGATAACTCTGTATTTGATTAAATTTTCTATAAAATATATGTTTTACGCCGTAAAGTTCGCACTGGAAATTAGCGATCGAAATTCCTAAAATAAAATGAAATTGAATTTTAATGACCTCTAATGACCTCAAAAAATGAAAATGTTTAACTATGGCTTTATGCATATAAATAAAAAGCTAGGAACCCCAGGAATACAGTATCAGCAACGAATCCAGTGTTTGACCTTCTAAGGACCTCAAATGACCTCCAAAAATGAAAATGTTTTAACTATGACTTAATTGCATATCAAACGAAAATTAGGAACCTAGGGAATACAGTAGCAGCAATGAATCCAGTGATTGACCATATAATGACCTCCAATGTCCTAAAATTACCTCCAAAATGAAAATGTTTACACAATGGCTATATTTTAATTTGGAGGTCATTAAAGGTCGTTAGAGGTCATTAGAAAGTCAAAAACTGGATTCGTTGCTGCCACTCGATTCTTTGGGGGTTACTAGTGTTTGTTTGACATGCCTAAAGCCATTTAAATATTTTCATGGAGGTTATTAGAGGTCGTTTTAGGTCATTAGAAGTTCAAACACTAGATTTGTTGCTGCCACTGTATTATCTAGTTCCTAGCTTTTGTTTGAGATACATACTATGGTTAAAACATTTTCAATTTGGAGGTCACTAAAATGAAGGCAGAGCCCCCCCCCCCCCCCCTACATAAAACATGCCATCTACACCATCCCCTTTATGATTCCAACGAAATGCATAAACAAAATTCAACTGTGAACTAACTTCATGCTATGGAATTTTATAACTTAAAATGATGATATACGGTAATCTATTTCTGTAAAATTCGAATCTGATGCAAATCCGCTGATTTCCTCAGAATAGATTGCTAGGTGACATTTGAAGACATTTTTTTTAAGCTGCGAAGACTTTTAGAAAATGAAAGATTAACGAAAATGTGATATAAAAAATATTCTAACCATAGTTTTTATCATATTTATTATAAAAATCGGTTCCTAATCAGCAAATTGTAGCATTTTTCCATGCTGTTCGTCGGATCATTATTCATTAAATAACTGTAGTAATAAGTTTCAAAGGGCGGACTCGCTTTGCGAGTCTGGTGAAAATGGAATAAACGTGGATTCGTTCTTACAGATCAATCATACACCGTAAAATCATCTATTATTTCATTCTATAATGGAACGCTCTTAGCTTAACTTCCCCTCATTGCTGGTCACTCCCTTTAAAGATAAATGTATTTTATATATCTCTCGGTCCAGGGGAAATTTATCGAACATGGAGAGTTCCGAGGGAACCTGTATGGAACGTCTGTAGATGGAGTAGCAGAACTAATCTCAGCTGGATACCAACCTATCCTTACACCTCACCACCAGGTTACAAAATTTATGCATATTTTCCAATTAGTTGTATAGACAAGCAAAGTATATTATTTAACTCTAGTCACTAGAAAAACTATTTGCTTAAATATGGATTAAATTTTCTTACTTTGATCAGGCTTTAAAAAGATTGCGTACTGCTGAACTAAAGCCGTACATTATCTACATAAAACCTCCATCGTTTGATGTTCTTAAGGTAAACTAATGGAATGTCATCACTTTTTAAAATCGTAGTCAAACCGCTGAAGGATAAATTAAGAGGGGATGATGTATTTTTTAAGAAAATAGACCCTATATTTTATAGAATTACCCTTAAATGGAAAAAAATAATGGACACCTATATGCACCACACTGCTGAAAATGAAATCATTAGGGTTCAATTCAAAATACCTAAAACATTTTTTTTATTATTTTAGTTATAATCTCAAGTTTGAGAAAATGTCACCTAGAGAATTTTGAGAAAATATATTTTTAAGAAATTGTAGAACTTAAGTACATTTATGAGGTCTAAAATCAAACGTAAATGTAGTTTCAAGGCCAAATTAAACTTTTTTCTGTGTCTTATTGAGTTTAGTTTTGAACCGTAAATGGCAGGATCCCCAAATTGCAAATTTTGTTAATTTTCCTGAACAATCATGAGGCAAGGCATGTTCAGCAAAAATTCAAAGCCCTATTTGATCGGTATGACTGCCTAAGTACTGTCTGAAAGAGTTTTTTTTTAAAGCAAAATCAGTAAAAATCACATAACCAAACTGTTTCATGTCGTATCTAGAAAGTCAATAAGTTGACTTAGGTTTTTGATTTTTCCTACAATATGGCCTATGGCTGTTATAGAAAAGTTACAAAATTTGAAAACCCTGCCATTATAACGGTTAAAAAATAATTTTAGAAAAACCACAAGAAGCATATCAAAATCTTGAAACTGATTTCTTAAAAATGAATTTGCTCAAAAAGCCCTATTTGGCATTTTCTGAAACTTTAGATTATAACGTGATAGACTGCATATTAATATATTCCAACGGAAAAAATAACGTGTTTTGACTTGAAACCTAATGGTTCATTTTCAGCAATGTTTCCGAAAAAATCATTTTTATCCTTAAAACCATATATTTTGCCCAATTCAGTTATAAAGCCATGAACTAAATTTTGCACTCCATTTGGTACTGAACACCAAGGGATAATAAAACGAATTTCAGAAGGGGAGGGAAAAACTGTTTATTTTTAAAGTTCTATATACACCCGTGGCTTGTACCCCTATAAGCCCTTATGAAGAATCGTAACATTGGTTATTTTGTTTCACCACTTCCCTCTTGTAAATACCCCAGATGTTAGGTTTGTTTTTAATTGCCTGTAGTTCTACATTTTTTGAATCGTTTTGTCATTTATTAAAAAAGAATTATTTAATAAAAGCAAACTTTTACTAAATACAGTTTTGAATTATCTTGGAAGATTTATAAAAAAGTTAATCTTAATAAACGAACCATAACGATTAACAACAATACAGGAGACGAGACATCAGGCCTACGCCCGGTCCACCTTTGATGAATCAAACTCCAGGTACAGATTGTAAATAATGAACAAATTTAAAATTTCTAGAAGTTTTTTCTCTCAGATCAAATGAAACACTTAAGTTGTCGAAAATTAGAATGATCTAGTTTTTTCTAGGTCTTTTACAGACGAGGAGTTTAGAGACATGATAACTGCTGGGGCTAGAATAGAATATCTCTACGGACACTTTGCTGATACTGTCATCGTTAATGATGATCTCATTGGTGCGTTCGAAACTCTTATTCGATCAATTCGGCGGCTGGATCAAGATGCTTTTTGGGTTCCGGCCTCGTGGGTTCAGTGATTTCTTTTCTTCAAATACACTAGTACAGCTTCACTTTCAAAGATTATTCCAAATATTCTAGTCAAATTTAGATTGTTATATTTATCGCCAAAGTGCGGGGGGCACCTTAGATACAATTTTTCCCTTTTCTTTTCTCGGCCATGCATGCCTAATGACTGTGCATAGTTTAGTCACATATTCTTGAAAATTTTAAGACTTAGTCAGTTTTTTTTACCAATTTCGGGAAATATAAGTGTGTTTTCTGAACTGGATTTTGTTGTTCATTGTACAATTTGTGTTGAAAAATACCAGATTTTACTTAGATTAGCCCAGCAAGTACGGTATGTTTTTTCATCATGAAAATGTACATTCTGTTAGTTGCGAGGGCTTTCAAAAATTTTTTTTATTATTTCAGAAAGTTATTTTGAGAAATATTACATTTTGAGTTTTTTTCCCACTTTCTCTAAAAATAAATACCTCTGGAATGTTATTGAATATTTATGGTTCGAATAGTTTCAATGTCAAAGCATAGAAAATTTACATTCTATGCATACATACATTATATAGAAAATATCTATCTTTAAAATTCCTTGAACCGCTTTAGAACATATCTTTAAATCTGCTACTGATTTAAGTAATAAGAATTATGATGCTTGTTGATTTATGGTATAAATTCTGTACTGAAATAAAACGACGGATCTCTACAACCACATTCAAAGGAAAATATGTAAGTTATTGAGTTTTATGAAATTGTTTACTTACAGTGGGTCTCAAATTAAATAGCTGAGCAAGAAAGCAACATTAACTGCCGCTTAAATTAACTTAAGTGAAATGGGCTTCTGTACACGGCTAAACTCTAATGTTTCATGTTATTGTTCAATTGACAATTATTTTTTTCATACCTTAATTTAAACAGTCGTTTTCTTAATCTAGTTTTATGGGGCCCACTGTTAGTCCTTCAAAAATACTCTGTTATCCCTCAAATGTAACCCCAGATATTGTAAATAAATATTTAAACTTAAATCTGTCCGATTAAAATATGCAATTATATATTAATAGACATTTAAATGTTGTTCTGATTGAAATTTTTCAATTAAAAATTATAATTTTAGCTAAATCTTTTTCTTACATCATCTGTTCTTCGCAACAGATAATGTCTTAAAGTTAAAGAAAAACTTTTTAAAAATTTTACAAATCAAACTGTTACTTGATGTTGGTAAATTTATTATTTCTTTCTTACAATTGTTGCATTTTTCACCGAGTCAACTGTTCTCAGGAATTTTAGACTCAGTATGATTTAAACTATATCTTCTCTAGTCATTTTTTTAAAATAAATTCCTAACTATTGATGCAGATAATTATATTTATTTTTCAGATTAAAATGTTTAGAATATGGAGGATTATTGACTGGTTTTTATAACACAAGAATAAATCTATTCATTCATTTCAAGATTTTAATAGAAAAAAAGAAGTTCACAATGGACAAGATGTCTCCTTGAAATGGATTAATAGGAAGCTTGTTTTTAAAAGGCACAGTAAGATTATATTTTTTTAGTTTAACTCTCTTTATTAAATTAAGAAACCAATATGGATAAAATAATGTCTTTATATAATTTGGTCTTCCATGGTAAAGACAAAAGATTTTTTATAGAAAATAAATGCTGAAAAAATCAAGATTTTTTATATGCGCTATTTAGACTGCTGGTGTGTCTTCAAGATTTTAGCTAAGGGGTGGCTGGGTATTAAGTAAAATCAAATATGGCCATTGCCCAACCCCCCAGTTGGTTTAAGATCTTTGGCTTTTTCATTGACTCGTATTTTCTTTCAGGTCATATATCCACTTTGTATCCCTCTGTAGTCGAATGTTTATTATGATGCATAATATTACAGACTTATCCCCACACCTGCATAATGAACATATACGCTACTGATCATGTGCTTATTCTTCATATCTAAATGCTGTATCTATTTAGAAACAACATTATGGTGGATAATCATTATTTTAAAATTACATAACTGTATTGTAATTAAAGAAATTTCAGTTTGGTATTTAAAAAAAAACGCCTTGTTAAGACAAAAGTGTAAACTTTCTCTGTGGAACATTTAAAAAAAATATATTCGTACAAAGTAGAACAAATATACCACAAACTGCTCCTGTATGCCTGGTATAATTGAAGGAAAATCCGGTAAAAGAATTTAGGCGTACTTAAACAAGGATTCTATAATATAGTTTACTACAATTTCAGACACAAAATGGCGGGCTTGGGCCCAGACATGTCTGCCCTTATTTTGCTTTCTCGGGAGAATCTAATTGGGTGTCTAAACAAGGTTAAATATGAGACAGGGTTACTAATGGGTACGAAGAAGTGCAAATGGTCATGATTTCTTTGAAGAACGAAGGGGTTTCCCGCTCCGGGGGGGGGGGCATGTAAAAATTTATGTTCCTTGACTTGTAGCATATTGATCAATCCTAAACTCTCTTCAGAACTAAGGGTTACTGTCTTCCATTATTAGTTTTAATGGCATACAAACGATAAAAACTATCTTTAAGACATTGTAGCATGTAAGCAGTAGGATGGATAACAAGTCATCTCATATCGTCTAGGGAGATTCAGCTGTTAAAAAATGCCAACCCAGATAACATGCTTTGAACGCATGTTTCAAAGCGTGGAGAACCAAAACCGGGAATTCAATTTAAATTCAAGCCAATAGGCATTAGACATGGCTTGCTTGACATGAGGTAGGAGGAAATAGAATTGGTCTTGGATAAAACCGAAATGAAAGTTAGTATTAACAAAAAGTCTGAAATTCCTTTTATTTCATACCACTTTTTTATGGTAACAATAGCATTCACATTTACATTGTAAATTTTTTAAATCTATGGAACATTTCCGATCGATGATACCAATTCTAGTATTTTACACTAACAGTAAGGATGAATGTTATTATGAAATTTCATAATATGTTCAAAATTCGAAAAAAAATCAATTCATAAACTCAACCAAGCCAAAATGACAAACTTCAAGCGGTCATACTTCCTTAACTTCAGTGCTATATACCTCTCATTTATATCAATCGATCGGAAATGTTCCATAGATTTTAAAAATGTACAATTTTTTAAAAATTTAACCATAGTGAGTGCTACATTGTCTTAAAGATCGTTTTTGGGACACCCTGTATATTAAAAATATTTATATAAAATCTCCTATAGATCCCAGGTCGTAAGCAGCTTGTGCTTGAACCTGAGTTGACCCGTCCTCTAGATAGGATTGCTGGCATGTCAACCCTCTCCAAGACTGGGGTGGAGTCTGTTATCAAATTAGGTAAATATTGCACATCGTTTCAGGGGTAAATATTTTCTTTTTATTCGCCCCCCCCCCTCCCCTTTTTGTTAATAATTTTTTTCTCTAAAGGTTATGTTTCTGCCTAGCGAAAAACTTTATTTTAGGATTCGTATCGCTAAATTGGGGGAAATAAATGATTTTAGGGGAAAATACATTATTATTTCTATGAATGTCCAATTTTTTTATTTTCAAGATCATTAAAAATTAATCTCCCTGCACATTTTTGGAATTTATTGAAGACCCTGCAATTTTACTTTGCAATGTTCTTCATAAACATCTTATAATTGAGTAAAATTAGAACCTTTTGCTGACATAAGGGCAGTTGGTAATATAAATATTTATTTTTAAAATCTCAATATCTAAACTGATTTTCACTTATAAAATTTGATTCACATTGGTTATTATTCAACTCTGGGATTTAAATCACTATATTTTGATTAAAAACCAAACTTCTGTGAATATGATTTCAAAGTTCCAAGAATCAAATGTGTAATGTGTTTTTATAAGATCAAATAAGAATATGAAAATTTCTGTTTATAGAACGTGGACCTGTTCCCCCCATGCAACCAAATTTATCCAGGGTTTATTTTATTTCTGCAAATCTAATCCAGGCTAAATATGTAGCAGATCAGGTGATTCATCTTTTATTATGCATTCATTTATTCACCTTTATTTTATTTTTCGAAAAGGATCGTTTCAACACGTTTTTGCATCGTTTTTTGGATCGTCTATGAATCGTTTGGGTCGTTTTTGGGATATATCTTCTGTAATGATTTAAGTTTGACTAAGTCTAAGAACATTTTCTCTTTCATGCCAAATTTTGACCCTGAAAGAAAATTTAGTCAAAAAACGGCCTAAAAAGGAACCAACTGAAAACAAATCACAACTTCCAAGATTACTTTGTTGTAGATATCATCACAAATTGTTGGAGAATCCGTTCTGAGTCCTATTCATCTAGTTCTTGTTCCAAGAAAACTGACAAGTATTGAAAATCTCTTCGAGGTAGCACAAGATTATAAGAGAAATGTTGTAAGTTTAGGAAATGTAGTTAAGAAACCCATTCCCTTGCATAGATCTGATATATTCATGTCGATAATCAAAATGCTTATTAAATTTATTACAGGAAGAGGGCATATCAGGTTTTGTTACGATGCATCAGTTTTCTTGGGAGTTTATTCCTTTAGGCAACACAAATTTTGTTATTTTTATTCCTTGACTTTTAGAGAGAGAAAAAATAACATGTCGTAAGAAACATGCTGTTGTTGCACATTCTTTAAAAAAATGCCGCACATCATTGAACCTTTTCGAAAACAAAACGCGAAAACGACACGGAAAATGTGGGACCCTTTTCATTACTAAAAACAAGTTTAAAATGAATATATTATATTTATTTTGATAATAATAGTTAATTTGAATTGTCTTCACTTGTTCCTATACATGACATCTGTAGTTTATTGTAGAACTTTTTTATGTCGTTATTTTATTATTCGAAAAAAACTAATTCTGAAAACGTATCCACCCCAAAGTAGGAGTTTTGAACGTCGACTTTACGTTTAAACTCAGTAAATATACATCATGGAAACGTTTTATACGTCTCAAATAAATATTTAAAAATTTTTCCACAACACTGCCCCCTTAAAAAAAACTCCAAATAAAGTTAAATTTTATAAAAAAGCAAATCAGTAATCCGGAAATTTATCTATAGAGACCCCGCAATTGAAAATATTTTTTTTTTAAATGACGGATGGATAGCTCATACATTCTTGGTCAGACAAAGTCTTTAGGGTACCGTTCTGAATAGTGTATCTTATTCTTTAAAGGAGTCACTTAAAATTGGGTGTACAGGCTCTTTAAAATTAAATGAATTTTGGGGTTAAAGTACTAAAAAGAAATAAATTGGTGCGTTCTGTCAGATTTTGTTCTTGATTAACATATATTTCATCTGACTTTCTTCATAAAAATTGTTATATTTTTTAATTGAATTCCCAAAATCATTGGTTGTTGAGCAGATTTCGATCTGTTATCTTTGGAGCTTCCATCTTTCTTCCGTAATCAGTTTTTGGGCCAGGTGAGTGGTGAACTTTTTATTCGGATTATAGATCATAAGAAATATTTTTATCTCATAGAAAAAATATGTTTCCGTTATTTCATACGCTGTTAAAGTAAAATGGTTATAGCGTTTAATTTGAAACTATATATTAGTATTTTTATTGTTATTTTTTGAGTTTTTTTTAATGTAATTATGTCATTATATAATTATATAATTATGTAAAATATATAAATATATATACATTTTATTCCAAATAAGACACTACAGTATCTTATGTCTTGCTCCTAGCAGAGTTTTCAGAAGTCACATTTCATGATTTTTAAGCTTCAGACAGATAAGTGTTCTGTGTAGAAGCTTAAATATGCTTTTTGAATACGCTTAATCTCTATATATACTGAGACAATTATTGATATGATTCCTTTCCTTTCAACGCGGGATAGTCAAAAGTAAGTATTTGAATCGCATTACTGCACAGTGTATGGATTATGGATAACTTGATCCCGAGATTTACAGGAAAAGTTTTGACCTTTGATTAATCTTCTCACAGTTTATAATAAAGGATCACTCTGGACTGGTGTCTGTAGCACGAGCACTCTGGGGAATTCAGAGTATATATGGCGATATACCAAATCTCTTTGCTCACGGCAAAAGCGTGAAGAAACTGCTGAATTTGGTCAATGTGTTTTCCCTTCAATACGGTCAACCTAGAACTAAACAGGTCAGGCTTAGATTCCACATTTACTTCGTTCTTGCGCTGCTTTACAGAAAAGAAAGATGAAACTTTAACTTTTTACTATTTTTCACTCAAATAATTTGAGAAATTGGTAGGAAAAATTAAACTAATATATTCCCATAAATAAGTTTAATTTTTGAGATTGTGCATGTTTCATATGTAAAACTTGAGATTTAGGTTTTAAACTTGAAAAGGAATAGCTTGCCAACTAAGATTGATTTAAGTATTGCAAAAAAAAGATTAAAGTTTGTGTTTTGGTAGGCGGACATAGGATACATCTATATATTTGAGAGAGATATCGACTATGCTTCCTGTCTTCTCTCTCCACTCACATACGAGGGTCTTTTAGACGAGGTATTCGGCATCAGGTAAGATCATAAGAACTACTGATAGGCATAATTTTTTGGTCCGTTTAACATTGAATTTGTTTTTAGACTATATATCTATATATCTGATATATGATTGATATTACAAAATTGAATGTTAGACAAGTTTGCCTATACAACGTTTTTACCCTGACGAAAGATATTAACCACAACGATTTTACAATTCAAATCGTTTTACGTTTTTTGTTTAGGTTAATATTTTGTTTGGAGAAAAAAATTCCCTAATTTAATGTAATAAACGCGAACTTTTCGAGAATACAATTTATCAATGTGATAAATATCTCATTTCTGAACGTGGAAAAAACCCTAAATGTCTCAAAATAGAAAATTTAAAGGGGATTTTAAAGACGTTCCAGAGCTGGGAACTTTTAAATGGTGGAAATCGGGATTAAGGCTTAATCCACTCTTTTTCTTAATCTCCAGATTAACATAATCTTGCAAGATTATCTTAAAAGTGTATGAAAAACGATAAAATTCAAATAAATATTTAATCATCTGAGAAACTGTATGAGTGTAGCAGCCAATCAGAGAAAAGCGGGCAACCAATGAGAGAACAGAAATATTCTCATTGATGAAAACAATTACGGATATCCAAGGAGAGAGAAAAAGAGTGGACTAAGGACTAAAATGAAAAGTTTCCACAGTGGATATTCGGATCAAGAAGTCAGGATTAAAGTTTATCCATTCTAAAGTTTTCAGCTCTGATCTAATCTTCTCTTTTTTTCAGAGGTATTTTTATTTCTTAAAATAAACCTGGAGGTGTCTAATGTTATTTCTTTTCTGAGAATGTTGTGGGATATATCTGGAAATTGTTTGGATACCAATACCATTTCATTCTATTTATATATTTGATTTTCACTGTCTAGATGATAAATGATATATTTGGCGTTGTAATACAATATTAATAGATTATCAAGTACAAAAGATGGCAACGTAGAATTTGTATACTCTCAGTACAACAGTATTAGGGTTTCCATTCGCAAAACTTTTGCGCAATTTTTGCGGAACAAAACGCAAAATTTTTCTTTCTTTGCGCATCAGTTTTGCGCGAAAATGAAACAATTTGCGCAATCATTCGCAAAAGTCATTTCGCGCAAAATTGCCCTAGTCCGCTTTTGCGAAACTCAAGTTTTGCGCAATTCCGGAATTTCCTAAATTTCCTAAATTTCCTTAGAATTCAATTCTGGAAAAATCTTGTTTTGGTCACTTTTAAATAATTGACAAATGACAGTTAAGAAGAGTTCAAATCTCACAATTTTCTCGATTTCACAATTTTAGTTTTGGACATGCATATTTCCTAAAAGTGGATTCTTCAGGCATTGGTTACTTTCTTGAATTTTTATATGAGATTAAAAAGATTTCAGAACTTTGATTAAAAAAATTTAAGAATATAATTCATACTTGATTAGGCAAAGCTTTTAAGGGTCGCTTGAAATTATTTAATAGGATTAAAATATTGCCAAGTTTCACACTCTCTAATTTCTATTCAATTAATTTTGGTCCCTTAATTTAAACTTTTTGTAACTGGAAGTAACCAAATGAGTGTAGTATAATCGTTATCATACTCGTATGTTAATATTTTTTTTATGTATGGAATAAATCTTCAGTTGTTTAATTCTAAGCTTAGAATATCAATTTTTACCAATTTGCCTAAAAAGTTACATTTTGCCAAAAACTTGCCGTTTTGCGCAAATTGCGCAAAACTAAAATTTCATTTGATGCGCAGCTTTCGCAAAAATTATTTCCGGTTTTGCGCAAATTGCGCAAAAACATAGTGCAAAACCGCGCAAAACTCATTGCGTTTCATGCGCAAAAATAGCGCAAAAGTTCACAAAAAAAATTGCGCGAAAATAGCGCAAATTTTGCGCAAAAGATTTAGCCATTTCGTGGAAACCCTAAACAGTATTTTTACGTCACAAGTGTCAACTCAGTTGTTGTGTCCGACAAGATTATTAATAATAGTGACAATTTTAGACTAAGTGCTTATCTTACAGTGAAATAAGTGAAATTGTATGTGTTATTTATTTTCTTTTTTTTACTTTTTGTTTAATTTTGGAAAACGTGTCAACTAATGTGAGAAAATTTTTCCTTGTTATATTTGACACTTAGGGCGTCGTGTATAATTGGTCCATTTCTTTGTTGCCGCCGGTGTATACTTGATAATTTTTTTGATACATGCGTATTTTTTAAACATTTTTTTTGTCTTATTAAAGGGGTAATTTGGTTAGGTATGGTAGTTGAATTGTGAGTGCAGTATTATCAAATGAAATATTAGGATTCATTTGATAACTATATTAAAACGTTTTTACGTTCCATAATTGCTACATAAGACCTAAAACTCGGTTCTTCAAAAATTACGAGATTCAGTTTTAAAAATCTGTCAATAACCTGTATCAAAAACGTTAGAATTTTTTTTTATAAACTATTGCAAGTTAGGAATTTATCTTAAAATAAATCATCGATGAAATCAATAGTAGAATCAATTCTTTCTTTATTGTTATTGTCTTGAAATTTTATTTTTTATTTATTTATTTGCAATGAAATTCAAGCAAATCTCTTGGAAACATTTTAGATAAGAATGGATTTTTACGGTGGACTGAATGAAATACCTATTTTCGAAAATAAGACTTGTTTCTAAACTTGACATTAGTTTATTGCAGAATTACTGTTGTTACATTTTTCATCCGGGTTATTAACACATTTCAATAATCTTGTTAGGAAACCACCAGAGTTATCCTCATGAGTCATGGTTTGATTTTTAAAGAGCAAGTTCGCCATCTTCTGTAGCAATAACATAACGTAAAAACGTCTTTTAAGTATCAAATAAATCCTGATATTTATTCTACAATTCTTCACTCTCAGTTAAATTTCCATTTCTAGCCAGTCACTCCCTTTAATGAAAGCTTAATTTTTAAAAGCTGCGGAACTGTGGAATTTCCTAAAGAAGTGACTGGAACTGACACAACAACTAAACTACAACTTTCTTCCAAGGAAATCATTTCTAAAAAAACCTAAAACTTTATTTTCTTTGAAATAAAGAATAAAACATATTTTCAAGGCTCAGTTTCATTTGCAATAATTACATTTGCCATAATACATTTGCCATAAGTAACACTTGCCATAAGTCACACTTGCCTTAAGTTACACTTGCCATAATGGTTACACTTGCCATACTTACACTTGCTATAATTACTTTTGCCATAATTCAAATCAAATTTGGTTTGAATTAATTTATGAGCTATCAGGTTTAGGTACTCTTCTATGGGAAGAGTATTATACTGTAGGACAATGTTAGCAATCCTCTCATAGTGACTCTTCACCAAGCTCTTTCTTTCAGCTCTAGAAAATATGGAGCTGAATCTGTTTTAAAACAATGAGAAAACTAAAATTGCGAATTTTCATTGGAAAATTTCCCGCATTTGCAATAAAAAAGACAGATTTACATATTTTTGAAAATTAGAAAATTATGACAAAAGTAATTATAGCAAGTGTAATTATGGCAAGTGTAACCATTATGGCAAGTGTTACTTATGGCAAAAGTATTATGTCAAGTGTAATTACGGCAAAAATATTATGGCAAATGAAACTGAGCTATTTTCAATTAAAATGTGCAATACTTAAATTACAAAATCTTAAGAGCAAGGTTATTTTTGAAGAAAAGTAAATGATTAGAAAAAATTTGTTATTTTATATTGTGAAAAATTAATGACGCAGGATAAAATGTTCGAAAAAATACGGAATAAACATTTTGCGACAATTTTCTCGGTCCTGGGCGTAACAGCTAAGCAACTTTCAGCAGCACAGGTACAGTTCAGTTTTCTTTTAGATGAATTAAACTATTTTATACAGTACTAGGCTTTCTTTCGCGCCCATCTTCTATATCAATTGAACACTTTCTCTTTGTATAAATTGTAAAACAAAAACTAAAAAAAGTTTTTAGATTTCATAAAAAAAATTCTTGGATTTTCAATATTTAATGTAAATAGAATTTTGTTGGAGTATAAATTTGAAATTTTAACCTTTCATAAATCTATATTCATTTATTCATTTATTCATTTATTCATTTATTCATTTATTCATTTATTCATTTATTCATTTATTCATTTATTCATTTTCTTCATCTTTGTCGAACAAATTATCATAATTATCATTAAAGATGTATCTAGACTGCTTTTATTCATACCACGTAAAACTAAAGTAATTGCAATTATGATTGATATAATATTATGACTTTTCGTCTTGAAGACAAAGTAAGAGGACCAGTTTTTTTGAATTTCTAATATGTTAACAAATAAATTAGCTTTTTCATACTTGACTTAAAATCAAAAGTAGAGGTCACGAAATCGTACCAGTAATGTAATTTCGCATAAATTTAACATGTTTCTTCTTTCTAGTTCAGTGTTCAGCATCAAGTATTTTTAGGGTTAAATAAAAAATTAAGCTAGATATTTTGTAACTTGTAACGTAACAGTTATTACTGAAATTCTGAGATTTTTTTAAAAATTATCAGTACAAGTTTTATAGATATTTTTAAGCATGGTTTTGTTCAAAGTAAATTAATTATTTTACCCCGTCTTTTGACAAACCTAGCCGATCCACGAGAGCGAGATTTTAAGTCGAGTAAAATCGCGCTCGTTAAAAAAACCGTTAAAAAGTTGGAAAATTATCGTTTGAACGAAAAAATAGTTTATTTGAGAAATTAAGAAAAGATTGAAAAATTAAGCTAAATATTTCGGAATTTTGTAACGGTTATTTCTAAGACTTTTTCTTAAAAATAACTAATTATAAATTAAAACTAAATCCTTGGCGCCTTTTCTAAGAAGAAAACATAAAGAAGACGTCTTTCATTCTGGTTTTTATTATTCATTTATTTACAACCTTATAAATTCACTGATTAATTGTCCTACTTATAAAATCTTTTGTTTTTTAAATATTTATTATATAAACTTTTTTTAAAATATTTATTATATTAACTTTTATTTAAATATTTATTATATCAACTTTTTTTTAAATATTTATTATATCAATGCCGCAGGCCGCAGCATCCAGTATGAATATAAACGAGATGAAGAGTTTTGTGCAAAATGATCTCAAACATATGAAAACGCAGTCAAAGGTGAATTTTGTAAAAGGAAAATTAATTATCTTACCGGCTTTCGACCTGCACCATTACCACTCAGCTAACATCAATATGTATTCTCGATCGTTGCATAACTTGTGTTTAATTTTATCGTATTTTTGAGTTAATCAAATAAGTTCGTTTATTTTAATACTGTATTTTCGATCAATAAAGTTTATTAGAAGAATGTTAAGTAACCTCCCGTTATTAGAAAATTCGCGAGAAAAAAAATTTATTTCAAAAAACGAAAAACAGCATTTATTTGACTTCAGAAATTAGCAAAATAATTGTTTTTCCTACAGGCTGTTGCATTGCATATTGGAGCAAGTGAGAGAATACAGAAACTGAAGGGAAGGATGTTGGAAACACAACTACCAGTGGAACATACGATTATTTCTGCAGAAAACATAAGGTATACAAAAAAGTTTGATTTAATGTAGAAATATTTAACAATTTCATTTGGCTCCTTTGCCCGCTATATTCAATAATATATTTTTTTTGTAACATACAAGGGCGCATATAATAGGAATAAATCTAGGAGGGAATAAATATAAGACACATAAAAGACTAATTAAACGGCACTATCAGTTCAATTACTCTTGCAAGACTTAATTTCAAAACGGCTGGGGGATGCAATGTTTACGAGGTAAGCAAATTTAAAAACAAAAATTGTACTTTTACCTTCTCCAAGTTTAAGTCTTCTTTGTTTTGATGTTCTTCAGTTTAACATGGACAAAGGAAAGTTTCTTAATCTCTTTCAACGTATCTAACATGACTAAAAGACGACGACGACGTTCATTTCGCTTTTTAAAGGTGCAGTGAAATCTTATTCTAATCTTAAACTAATCAAAATTATTCTTCATTTTAAAATACTCATTAAAACACAATATTTCTTATTTTCTTAATTTTAATACACAAATGAAAACACAATATGATTTTTTACAGGGATAGTATTACTTATATAGAGGAGAGAATGGCTCAGTTAGTTCCAGCCAATATTTCACTTCGGTTAATTTGTCTTCTCTCATATTGTTCTGATGGTTTAACTCAGGGAGGCATATTTTTTGTAAACGTTTTTGAAATTTTCCTTTCTCATACTTTTCCATCCACTTCTTCCATTTCCAGAGTTTGCCCTGCAGACTCCCTATATGTTTCCTCTGCCCTCGGGCTATCCTTACTTAATTCCTATAATGATAAATCTATAAATAAATCAAGACATTCGTATATATGTTGCCAATAGCAAGTAAAACGGCTGGACCGAATGATCTTAAATTTATTTAGGGAACCCATGGAAATTTTTTCCAAAAATCAAAATTTCAAAAAAATGATATCACGAACAACACCGGCCCTTCAGCTAGTATTAAATATGTCTCTAGAATGATTATACCCGGTTAAAAACTCAGTATATCCAGGCCTACGGGTTTCATCATATAATTACCTGGTCCAATCTTACCAATCTTGGACTTATCAAAATCAAGGAAAATGCACATTTTGGTTTTTTAACAATGTTAAATAAACAATAATTATTCTAGGCAACAACCTCTCATAGAAAATTTTAAAAGTTTATTTGGTTGAAAGATATTTATCATTGATCCAAGTGCATCTTCGAGTAGGGAGGAGAGCTTGGAAAGATTGGGGTTGTATCCCAGGTAGCTGGGTTGGTCGGAGCTCAGAACAAAACAACAGGTCTATTTAAGTTTTTAAAATAACTAAATCTTCATAAAGCTTCGTGCCTTAACTTAACTTCAAGATTTTCTTAGGTTTTCAGGGACTGGTTAGAAAGTTAGGCCTGGTCAGCTCTTCAGAAAACCTTAGTTTATCAGATCCAAATACTCCAGGTAGGAGGATATATTAGATCCATATACTCCAGGTTGGAGGATATACTAGATCCAAATACTCCAGGTAGGAGATATCTCATTAATCCTTGATCATACAAAGATATCTCATTAATCCTTGATCATACAAAGATATCTCATTAATCCTTGATTATACAACGATATCTCATTAATCCTTGATCATACAAAGATATCTCAATAATCCTTGATCAAACAACGATATCTCATTATTCTTTGATCAAAATAAAAGATATCGCATTATTCCTTGATCTAAAAATAATCGATAAAAAAGGATAACAATTAAATGCAGACATAAATATAATCATAAATTCAAAAGTAAAAAATGAGAAAAGTCTTAGAATAAGCATTACAGAGCGATTTCTATAACAAGGAATTTCCAAATTAATGGTTTCTATGGTTAGAAAACGCCCAGATTCCTATTGATCGGGTTATGCTCAGTTTTATAAGGCAAAAAACGAGCAAAAGGCCTTTTGCTTGCTTTTTATAAGGCAGAAAATGAGCAAAAGTACTTTTGCTCGCTGTTTATAAGGCAGAAAACGAGCAAAAGTTCTTTTGCTCGCTTTTTATAAGGCAGAAAACGAGCAAAAGGCATTTTGTTCGCTTTTTATAAGGCAGAAAACGAGCAAAAGGCCCTTTGCTTGTCTTTAAGGGCGAGAAAGTGTTTTAGAACCCCAACTGTTTACTCTCATATTTAACCGTTTAGGGTACGTGTTTAACGGAGCCTATACTCCTGTCGCCTGTAAGGTTGTTCAGGTATTTAACTTAGACAAACTTAATACAGTGCACCCATGAAAGTGTAAGAATATGAACAAGACTGTTTCTGTTAAACTTGTGATTTAAAGTAGTCCATTGAACAATATCAATTGTGCACTGTTTACATTGTGTTTTATAACATCAAATACACATGAGATTGCTTTAATGTCGTGTCTTTCTATTCTATTAAGTGCATTACCCGAAAGCAAAATACTTCTGTAGAAAATAGGAAGTTGGTGAATTTGGAATTTGGTTGTGTATTTGTAAGGTTTTAATATTTCCTAAATGCCTGAATATCAGGTAAATTTCCCAAATGCCCACCTGGGTCTTTGGGGAATTTCAAATTTTGACATTTTTGATAATTGCTGTCACTCACTCCTAAAGTGCAGTTATGGGTCCCACTGTACTATTTTTGGATTTTAAATATGCCAAACAAAGGTTTTTGGCGTATGCCTTTTTATTTCTTGTATTTTTTATTTTTTCATCCATTAAACAATAAATATATCTTTGCAACATAAAATACTAATATCTAGGAATTGATAAAAGCAGTTTCACTGACAGGAAAGACTGGGGCTGCAGGCGCAAAAACCAGCTTTAGTGGGACTTCACTTGTGACTGAAGCTTTGAAATTTTCACCAGGAAATATATAAATGACTGCAATTCCATGATAATGTTAATTATTAACTTTATATTAGTGAATGTACAATTTCTACATAATCTTAGTTTATGAAATCAATGTTTAAACATAGAAAACTAAAAAAAGTATACGCATTTAGTTCTGTATTGAGGAGAACTGAAAAATATTAGTAGACTATGAAATCATAAAATGTCGTCTTCATTTCAAATTATCAAAATATAGTTTTTATTCGCGAGTTAATACTTTTTAATACCCTTTTCACAACGATTAAGTTCTGTAGTTATTACAGCATAGCTTTTAATTTAGGACATTTTGCTGAAATGGTTAAAATTTTAGGGGGCACTGGTGTAAAAATATGTAAAAAAAGTAATCTCGTTTGTATGTTTGTTTGTATGTCCGATCCCAACTCATACACTCCATGACCGATTTGCCTCAAATTTTGATTATGGAACTTGGGAGAACCACGGGAATGTTAATAGCTTGGTTTTTAGATTTTAAGTTGAGTAAGAAGGCTGAAATCGTAATTTACGACCGAGCGTGGGTAAACGGCGGGAATAGCTATTAGTACTCTGAGCAACGCTGGGCTTTTAAGCTAGTATTATATATTTGTGTTCAGGAGAAACTATTATTGACATGAAGAGTCCTGGTGCACCCAAACTGGGGTACGTTTATTTAAATGCATGAAACCAGGATATGCTTAGTTTTTGTTGCGGATCCGGTTTCTTGATTTTTTCTAACGGAAATTTATTTTATTCAGTTAAAAATTAAAGAAGTTCTAATAATTAATAAAGCAGAGTGTCGAAGCTCGGAATACGTGGCTTTGCAAATTTGCTACCTAGTTTTATGACACCATTGAGAAAAAATCAAAAAGATGAAAGACATGTTATTTGTGTTCTACAAACTTTTAGCATCAATTTTAAATACAATGTTTACAGGCTTGTGCTTTTTGTTGGAGGGTACACTATGGCTGAAGTTGCAGCTTTCAGATGGCTACAAGCGGCCACAGGTTTTTTTTTATCAAATTAAGCTTATTTTAGGTCTTCTAAAGTTGGATCAAAAGCAATTCTTAGTTACATTAACATTTGTCTCTGGGTGGGGGCTTAGTCCCCAATCCCCATAGCCCACGGCCCTTATCTTTGAACTTAGAGAATGGAGGGGCTGGTGATATATTGGTCACATGAGATGAAGCAATAACTGCTCTGTGATGCCAGTAGATGTTATGGAACCCGACCAACACGGAAACGGATCAAAAACGACTTTTAAGGAATTTCGTTTTTTTTTAGAAATTCGAGGAAATCCTTAATAGTTCAGAATTGTCGAATATTTTGTATCCGTTTCCCAATATTTATAGTTGAATGGTTTCCTCCTTTTTTGGTCCGTTTCCTCATGTTTTTGATCCGTTTGCGCTTTTTACAAGAACTTGAAATGGTGAAATGGACTGGTGTTCTAATTTTAAGTGAGACGTTTATTGGATACAAACAAACAGACAAGCCAAATTTATATATAGATATGTGTGTGTATTTATATATATAAAAGACACCATACAAAGCATCTTATCATTCAAAATAGATAACATTTAAGGGTTCATTTGCATCAAAAGCACATACAATTTATCACCAATTCCAATTTTTTGTATGCTTTCAAAGGGGGTCTGGATGAAATACATGTATCAATAAATTTGTTTTATAAAAATCTGGAGAAAAAATTTTTTAAAAAATAAACTGTTTAAAAAGTCGAAATAACTTTTTTTTGTTAATATAGGTTGGGAGTTGATCATTGCTGGGACTGGGAACATATCAGCTAACCATATAATCAGCCAGTGTGAGAAACTGTGAACCAGACAAGCAAGAGGGGCAACAAATGAAAAATTGGTTTTAAAGAATTTATTCTTAGATAAAAACTATGCTGGCTTTTAAGTTTAAAGGGACTGTTTGCTTAATTTAGAGTGTCTCCATGCAAATATGGCAATGCCTGATTTACAGCGGTACTCTTAAAACGTTATTCGGATCAACAATTTGACAAATATTGTCGTTATTTTAGGTTTAAAAGTGATTTTGATAGTTCTTGTATAAAGGGGGGGGGGGCATGAAACGTATTACTCTCCGGAAAATTTAAACAGTGTTTAAACATAACTTAGAATTGTCGTAGGAGGCTGATTTTTTGCATGCAAACCCAGAATTATGTATATTACATGCATTTTTTGGTTTTGGAGGAATCTGAGCAAAAAATTTTAAAAATTAGTTTTGTGCACAAGAATGGATTTCTCTGATCTAAATACCTATTAAATTACACACAACATGAAAAACTGCCCAGCAACTGGCCAGCAGCGCGCCGATCAGAGTCCTGAAACTTAATTTTTTTACTTAAGAAAGAGAATCGTTGTTTCTAGTACCCCAGAATCTACATACTACATACGACAGGATGACCCAGAAGGTGACTGCTGGCTGCTAGCACGTTTTTACTAAGAAATGGGTCCTTGTGCCCAATTACCTATAAATCGACATACAACATGTAAAATATGTGGGAAGATTACCCATAATGGAACTGCTGGTTACTAGTGCGCCGGTCAGAATGCTCCAATATTAAATTTGACGTCGGAAATGAATTTCTCGTGCCCAATAACCTATAAATCGACATACAACATGTAAATATGTTGAAAGATGACCCATAATGGAACTGCTGGTTACTAGCGCGCCGGTCAGAATGCTCCAATATTAAATTTGACCTCGGAAATGAATTTCGCGTGCCAAATTACCTATAAATCGACATACTACATGTAAATATGTGGGAAGATGACCCATTATGGATCTGCTGGTTACTAGCGCGCCGGTCAGAATGCTCCAATATTAAATTTGACCTCGGAAATTAATTTTGTGTGCCAAATTACTTACAAATCGACATACAACATGTAGATATGTGGGAAGATGGCCCATAATGAAACTTCCGGCTACTAGCGCGCCGGTCAGACTGCTCGAATATTTATTTTGACCTCAGAAATGAGTTTCTCGTGCCAAATTACCAATAAATCGACATACAACATGTATAAAATGTACTAAGATGACCCAAATTGTAATAGTTGGCTACTAGCGCGCCGGTAAAAATGCTCCAATGTCTATTTTGACCTCGAAAATGAATTTCTTGTCCCAATTTTGCTATAGTTTGATGTATCACATGCAACTGTTATTCTAACTTAGGCCAAACTTAGCACATAAGTATTCAAAGATATTTTCTTTTCTTGCGCGCGCGCGCGGACATTGTCTTTGGAGGTGAATTTTTTAGAGCATATTTGTTTCAAGAGTGTCAGGAAAAATGTTCAAGTTCAATTAATGAAGTTAACATTGATTTACTGTCAAAAAAAATCGCATTTTTTCACAAAAAGCGCGCGCGCGAACTTATGCACAGATTCTTTCAAAACCTAAAAATGCATGTAATATACATAATTCTGAGTTTGCATGCAAAAAATTAGCCTCCTACGACAATTCTAAGTTATGTTTAAACACTGTTTAAATTTTCCGGAGAGTAATACTTTTCTGGCCTTCCACCCCCTTTCCTGCAGTATAAATTTTGTAGAGAAACCAAAATGAAAAATTATCAGTTTTTTAAATTCATAAACATTCGTATATAATTCATATTTGATCAGACCACGCTTTCAAGGATACCAGACAGTGTCCTCTTTGCATGTAAGGTCACTTGAATTTACGCTTACAGTCCCTTTAATGTTAGTTAATAAAGCATTTAAAATATTTAAAAATGTGTTTAATTATGTGATAATATAAATATTGATATCTTGCGCGCAGAAGTTTCTTGATTTTGGTTTCCTTTATTGATTTTATTTATTACTAAAATTTCTGTTTTATTTTTATGAAGATAAAATAAAAATGTTAGATTAACACAGATGTATATTTTTAGGACTATGTACATACATATATTGATTTACAACTTGGAACGATGTTTTGTATATGATTTCAAACAGTAAACATTTCATGACATATTAAAGCGAAGGTACATATGTTTATTTTTATAAAGATTTCAGTTTTATCCCTTGCCTCCAGACCTTCCCCGAGAACACCCTGACTCTTCATGCTTTGACAAATAAGACTTCAGAGCAAATGCTTTGCTACATCTGTTGCAGGAAAATGGTTTTTCTGAGGAATGTGTTTGTGTGTGTGCTCTCAGATTGCTTTTATCTGCAAACCCTTTGCTGCAGATAGTACACGAAAATGGTTTTTCTCCCGTGTGTGTTCTTATGTGTCCCTGGAGCAACCATGGACGAGAGAAAGTTTTTCCACAGAATTGACATTTGCAGCCGCCTCCATGGGTTCTCATGTGCATTGATAAAGCAGAGGAGCTTCCATAAGATTTACTGCATAGATCACACTTATTCCTGGTTCTGTGGGTCAATTTGTGACGATCAAGATTGCTCCGATTACTGTATTCTTTATAACAGTGTTCACATCTATAACTCAGATTGCTTAAGTTTAGCAAGGTTGGATTTATGGTTCTTGAGGACACTTTTGGACTACAGGGTGTGGGGGACCCTAGATAGGGGCTAAATCGGTCAGAGAATGGACTGGATGCACGTAAAGACTTGATAGATAAATCAAGCGGTTGGTCCTGAGGTTCAAGGTAGTTTGAATTAACCGATGGTACAGAGAAGAAAGGAATATTAGTACTGGGAGGAGATACAGAATCTGTCCTAAACCCAGGAGATGACCGGTGGGAGGATAAATCATCCTCAGGATAATGTCTCGAGTCCGCGAGGTCTTCAGCTTTCCAAAATTCTGGATTAGAGTTTACTTGTTCATAACCTGGAGGCCAGAGTGGGAACCTAGCCTGAAGACCCAGGGAAAGAAGTTGAAGTCTCCATTTCACAAGATCGAACTCCATTCTACAATGTCACGGGTAGTATAAGCTATAGTTATAGTTAGATCTGAGAGGTTGGAACTGCTCTGGGTTCAATGGTAAACTGCGCTAGATTCTCCGTAAGAATTATATTAAGGGCTCCGACTTCCGGTCAGATCATCGGTCATCTAGATCTCAGGACAGGGAATGGGGGGGGGCCACCTGGTGTATTTGTCTGTATGTGCGGAGTGAGGTTGACCGGACCGTTCTAAACCGGAACTCTTGTTGCTATAGACAACCCGACCTGTATGTGGGGGGAGGTAATTNGGGGTGAGTAATATCATGAGAAACCTTATCCAGTGTCGAGTACACGATACTGTTCCCAGGAACTAAAAGTCGGTCAACCTAGGGCAGGCTCCAAATAGTCGGATATTAAACACTAAATATCACTTTTAAAATTGGTAATAAAACCACCTACATACTTTCATATCATAAAAATCTCATGGAAAATTGCATAACCATTATTATCATGTCTAGAACTGTACCTATTAACATGAGTATTTTTTTTATAAAATCATGACTTTTTTCAAAGTTTTAATTTAAAAAGTTATCTCATCCGTAATTCATAATTAATTTTTATCACTACAGTGTCAGTTTCTGTTTGACAAGTAAATTGAGTTTACACAGGAGGTACAAATATAGAAAGAAAGTGTTATATTGAATGGTCACTTGCGCTCTCTTTGATACAGGTCACCTTCCCCCCTCCAATATCTTTTCTGATTTTACTATCTCCTTAGCCTTGCAGATTTTATTCATTTATTAAATATTTAAAATTATTGAACAATGTACATAAATAAAGTTCATCTAGTTAAAACTTTTATCTTTTAAGTTTTATATCTTTAACATCTGATATTTCAAACTTTGACTACAGGGAGTCCAAATAAACATTTAATGTAACGTTTACAACATTTGCTAATACTTTAAAATCAAATCTGCGTTTTTGTCCATACAAATACGTTTTACCATTTGTTTTTATCCTCGTCTTTTGTTCGTAAAACTTTTTTTAAAATTTTTTTATTATTTTTCCTAGCTGATGAAAATAAGGATTGCTTGTCCATATTTCTATTAAGGGTTGTATCAACCTTGAAATTAAATTGCTCGTAAAAATAGAATATTATATCAGAACTTCTCTTATCAAAGTGCCTTTAAGAAGAACAAACGTGTATATAATTTCTATTCTGTATTTAACCGGATAAAGTTTATTTTCTCTATAATTGTCCGTAATATTAAAACTAGAGGAGCTACGAGGTCGGAAAATCTTGCCAGTAATGTCGCTTTAAATTAATTTGCCTTTTAATCTGTCAAGTTTACAGTGAGACGGATGAAAAAGTATAATGTTAATAAAATTAATGCGATGTGCTTACATTTATGTGTAATCAAGGAAAAAATTGCTAATTTACTGAAAACTGAAAAAACAAGCAAATATATCAATTTTCAACGTAATCCACCAACAATTTGTTTAAAATAGAGTAAAGAAAAATACATTTGCTTTTAGTTGTTATCTTGTAAAATTTATGGGAAATGTTTAACGTATATTGTTTAACGTATATTGTTACCCACAACTTTAATGACGACCTGAAGAAACCCATTGAACATAGCAATTAGGTTTTTTGACGTTTAAACTCCATAAAAGTGTGAGTTGATACTCGCATTTCAAAATTGTATACTCGAAAAGTTTGCTTTCAAACATTATGCTCGATTAGAGAACACTTTTTATTTTTAAATTTATATTTTTGATCTCTTAATTATTTTTCTGATTTTTTACCATTTTTTTTAGACAACCTAACATGAGACATACTCATCTTGTAAATGCTACATGTAACTCTTAATTATCTTAAATCTGAATTCTGAGAACTGGGTGATATTCAAGTTAAACGATTGTAATTTTGCCACACACTGGAATTTTCTAATCCCTGATTCTTTGCAACATAATAGTATATTGATATTTCAAACTTAAAAATTATTGAATCTAACAGAATTTACAGTTTAATATTTCCAAGGTCTACGACATTGGATTGCACAGAATATAGGGATTAGAAAAAGATTCAGCTTTGCGAATAACAATTTTCTCCCACAAGGAGAGAACAACGACCTAAAAATAACAGAAACACAATAGTTGAATTTAGTCTCAAGTCGTTATTTCAGACATTTAAATGAGCTTTAAATAATTACAAAACATCTTGAATTCATTGAAAAAATTTGAATTTAGATTCTGGTATATGTTTATAATAACCTTTCTTCGAAAAACATAATGTTTACATTCCCCACAGGTATTGTGATAAGCTAACAATGCAGCTGCATTCCCCCCCCCCCTCCAAGTCCAAGATCTCCCTAGGGTCTTCTGTTCACCCCCCCCTCCCCCTGTTAACCTAAGACCCACCCACCATTCATAATAGCATTTTGCGCTAACCCCTATTCCCACATGTGACCCTATACCCCTTCTCCTTATGTTTACCCCTCCTACTGACCGGATATCCTGTATCTGCTGATCAAGACGGCTGAATTCAGGTGAAACCAATCACGGTATTTTCTTACATTGCACCAGCACAACCCCTCACCTAACATTCTCCTCTAATGTGACATGGTCACGTCTTTCATTTTTTTATAACAATTTTAATTATTCCTTTGAATACAGGAGAACTAGAAAACTGTGGAACAGACTCAAGATACAAAAAGTGTGCAGTGTGCACAGACCACTTTCAACAACATCAAATACACTTTTAACTTGCTGTTATGTCTTTCTTCCTTATCCGACGTTTTCTGGTGCCAATGTATAGTATTTTTTGACTACAAAAGTTACTTTTTAGTTATTTCGGTGTAATGGTACTTTATTAGAAATAATACAGTGATACCAACAGAAATATGGAAAGCAACTTTATGTGTATTTGATGTTGTTATCAAGCAAATAGTTTTACCAAGGAGCCTGATTGGTATAATTTTTAATGTCAAATAGTCAATTTTTAAATTTGAAATTTATTTTAAATAAATTAATATGATTATATTTAATTCACTAATTGTCAAACGTTCACAGCCTGTCGCCATTTTGCATTTAAAACGATCATTGAAATTGTAATACAGGGCGTCCCAATAAAATATGGGAATTCAGTGACGTCTTTTAGATCGTCTTCGATTCATGTGGCATTTTTCATAAACACAATAATTGCAGCAGTCAAAATGAAGCATCTGATATAAAAAAACGCCTGGTCTTGAGATTTTATAAATGTGGTCTACCATTTTAGTATATTCAAAATTCGCGGAAAAATTTTAATATCTAATATCTTCATCAACTTTTTTATGATACATAGAAAGGTAGACCACTTTATGAAAAGCTCGTAACACGTACAGCCTCGTTTATATTTTACTTTCTTTGCAATGCATTAAATATCAGACATAAAAGACGACTTTCAAGTCGTCTCTCAATTCCCATGTTTATATAATAAAACTACCCGTTATGATTTACAGATCAGATGACCCTTACAACACAAGCTTTTTATAAAAAGTGATCACTACTTTTCTGTTTTTTCATAAATTTTATTATTATGCGCTGAAATAACTTTTTGTCTCCTCTTCTTATCTGAGACAAAAGAGAAAAAATGTCCCCTTTTATTATCTAAGTAGAGTTTGTGTCAGAGTTTATTTTGTCTATGAAACACCATGTTTAAAATTAGGTTTTAAATTTCATTAAGTTTTACGAAGGTGTGCCACTGCAACCTAGACAGAAGGAGAAAGTAAAATTTATACGACATTACTAGCACGACTTTGTGACCTCGTGGCTTCTATAATTAAGATTTTTTTGCCAAAATATGAGAAAAAAATTATCCATGGTTATATGTTAGAAATTTAAAACATTTTTGTTCTTCTCAAAAGCTCTACAAGAAGAGAAGTTATGCTTAAAAACAAAATATTTTCTATCTTAAATACCATTTTATTTTAGTTTGACTTGACCTGTTTTGACTATTTCTTTCAGCTTCCATAAATCAGGGGTGTACAGTATAACCTAGGGCCGTGGGGGGAGGGGGGGAAGAATCATCTCTGGTTAAATGTAAGTATGGTTTCCAATGAAAGTCGGTAGTTTAAAAAAGATAAGCCCCCCCCCCTGTATAGTATATACGTACCCTATTCCTCATTTAAATGATTTTTATCGGATGAAAAGTTAGCAATTGACCAATTTAAAACCTAAAATAATTAAGGACAGAGTTGGGTGTCGGTATTGTTCTTTTATTAACCATTCAGGATGTTTGATCTTTCACTATGAGACTCCCTATAAAAGTTTAGAATATTTTAAATTGTAATATATAAAAGTTTATTTATTTAATTCATAATCTTGACTCTTCAGAAGATAAAATCCTGAACCATTTTTCAAACCGGTTGTTAACGAGATCAGAGTCACATCAGAAAACTAATAAAAAAATTAAATTTTGAATAAATTAAGGCATCGTATGTTCTTGGGTTAAGTCCCCTAAAAGCAAAAAATCCCAGAATGTCTAAAAAACGTATAATATCGATGCCCAGCTCTAGTTCAGGAAAATGTATAATATCGATGCCCAGCTCTAGTTCAGGAAAACGTATAATATCGATGCCCAGCTCTAGTTCAGGAAAATGTATAATATCGATGCCCAGCTCTAGTTCAGGAAAACTTTAAATCAAATCAAGTTTAAACAGACATATAATAACTAAGTAACGCACAATTTTATAAATATTGTGGCCTGGGAGCTGGAATATAGCTCACGAGCTCCCCTGGTTCAGCATAATAATGATTAGATTCAACTTTGTGCAATGTGCATGATAGAGGAGCACAAAAAGGCGGAGTACCGATGTTTTAATTGTTTTTTTTTACGAGCATCTCATTTCTTTTCGTGCAATTTTAAAGGCTGAATACGCCCATTTAAGAATTAAATATTTCCCTAAAAATAACTATATATGTAGTTTTTGGCACTTCGCACAAATAATATATTTGGTATATCATTCATTCTGTTTACAAAAGTGAAAAAGCTTGTTTCGTTACAAATATAGCTTACCGTTTTATAACATATTTAAATTCTTGTCTTAAAAAATGACGTCTGTTTTTTCTAAACCCCATATTTGTCCTTTTTAATATCAATTTTTAACGTGTTTTACGTTTTAGTTTTAAAAAAATTAGTAAAAAAAATTAGACAGAAATCGCACTCTTTCTGATATTTCCTGATTTGTATGTTGGTTTGATTTTGAATAAAACTGTTAGTTGGCAGTATATGTCCTGTCCACAACGGTTACGATTGGCTGATTTTACGTTACGCTGTTGTAAACTTGTAACCAAGGTTAAGGTTAAGGAACAGGGAACAGAATTAAAACAGATGGAGGGGGTGCTTTTAGTTCCATTATAATGAACACAGGGGATTTCGAGAAGCGGGGGGGGGGGTGCTGTGCTTAGAAGATGCAGCATGCTGCAGTAAACAGCATCTTAATAGTTCAGCATGCTACAGTAAACAGGATCCTGAAGATGCATCATGCTGTTGTAAACAGCATCTTAATGATTCAGCATGCTGCAGTAAACAGGATCTTAAAGATGCATCATGCTGCAGTAAACAGCATCTTCAGCTGCATCTTAAAGATACAATATCCTGCAGAAAACAATATTTTAAAAGGTGCAGAATGCTGCAGTAAAAGCATCTCAGAAGATGGACCATGCTGCAGTAAACAGCGTCTGAAAAATACAGCATGCTGCAGTAAACAGCATCTTATGGATACAGCATGCTGGAGTAAACAACAATTTAAAAGATGCAGCCCGCTGCAGTAAACAACATCTTAGAAGATGCAGCATGCTGCAGTAAACAGCATCTTATAAGATGCAGCATGCTGCAGTAAACAGCATCTTACAAGATGCAGCATGCTGCAGTAAAAGCATCTTATAATTGATGCAGCATGCTACAGTAAACAGCATATTAGAAGATGCAGGATGTTACAGAATCTTTAAAAACATCTTGAAGATCCAGCATAATGCAGTATACAACATTTTAGAAGATGCTGCATGTTACAGTGAAAAACATTTATCTAACCAATGAGAGCTGCGGATTGTTTTACAAGTAGTTCAATATGCTACAGACAGGGAGGAATGATTTTGCATTCTTTATATTGCTAAAAACCTGATGACCTTAACATTCTTAGGTACACATTCCGTCAAGCACTAGAAATTCATGAAATCAAGCAGAAACACATACTTTCATTCTAATACAGTAATAAAAAGATTAGGAAATAAAGGTAGATAGTTATAAGGTATAGAACAAAGATTGAGGCTTCATAGACGACTGTACGGAATTTATACTGTCTGTTTCCTTATATTCACGATTCCCTGCAACTGTAAACTTGTTTCTTGGGATTCTCATATTATATGGGTTTCAGGTCGTCTTTACACTTTCATCCTTTGTGGGTAACGCTGCACATCTTACATTTTTTTATTCAATAAATTAGATTTTTCAGATTTCCTGATTGTCTGAAACTAAGAACTTAAAATTAGAATATTAGAATACTAACTAGACCGAAATGTTTAAGATTAGGCCGTAAATTTGCGAAATTGAAGTTTCGCCAATTACGCGAAATCCTACGAAATTACACGAAATGAAAATTATTTCGCGTAACCGCACGTAATTTCGCGTAAGTGAATAATCTATTACGTTGAAAACCCCAGTCTTCTCAAATTCGCCACAAATCCATAGAAGATAATACACGTAGTAGGTATTTCAATTCTATAAATAAGTATGGTTAACAACAATGCATTGATATAAATTGATGATACATAAATGTTAACAATGTTTTTTTTATATTATAAAACATCCTTACTATTTGAGGATGGTGGGGTAAATTGAGGCGTCTGGTTATCAAGAATAAAACATCATTTAAACTTCTGAAATAAAATGACAATTGATTTCAAATATCTAAATCACTATTTTAAGGGGTTTAAATTGTTTTTTTTTTTTGATGCAAGGGTACAGCACGTGTACTTACCAAATTGTAATTACAAAATGGTCGTTACCAAATTGTCGTGCCAAATGGTCGTTACCAAATTGTCGTGCCAAATTGTCGTTACCAAGTTGGCATTACCAAATTGTCATTACCAAATTGTCGTTACCAAGTTGGCATTACCAAATTGTCATTACCAAATTGTCCTTACCAAATTGACGTTACCAAAAATCCGCCCGTCGTCAGAATGTCCATTATTACTTTACCTGCAGATATTAGTATTAATACCTAATGACTTCTTCGTTATTACTAACTTGACATATAAGAAATGTTATAGAATTGGTAAAATCTATGAAAATAAAGTATTAAACCGTTGTAAACAATAAATAAACAATAGAAACTAAGTATAGAAATGAGGAAGTCTAGAAAGTCCCGGATCCAGGGGGAGAGAGTATAATAGAGAGAAGAAACCTCTGTGTGACATTTGACCTTACACCATCCTCCTTCCTATCTTCTAAACTAACTATTTATCCATCTACGCGCTATCCATCTATCGTTAAGTCCTGTGTACGCGCGTATGTTCTAATACGCGCTGCAGTTAAGTTTACAATCCTATAGAACGCGGGCTTTGAATAAAGAGCTCGCAACTCATTTACTTCGCGTTTGAATTAAAGAGACGAGTGATGTTGAGAAATTGAAGAAAACCGTTCTCATGTTAATCTTTTTAAGTGCATAGTAAGAAATAGGAGAAACATGTTGGAAATAATGCTTTTAATTGCATTCTCCTAAATTAATACTCCTAGCTTTCCAGTTTGATGAATTATACAGATGAATATCAGCAAGAAAGTATCTATTATACAGATGAATATCAGTAAGAAAGTATCCATTATACAGATGAATATCAGCAAGAAAGTATTTATTATACAGATGAATATCAGCAAGAAAGTATCTATTATACAGATGAATATCAGTAAGAAAGTATCTATTATACAGATGAATATCAGCAAGCAAGTATCTACTATAGAGATGAATATCCGCAAGAAAGTATCTATTATCAAATTATTTCAGTGATGACACTCTGATTGGTTGTTGGATCAAACTAATAATCAAAATCCTTTCTTTTTATTTCCATTAAGTCCCGGTTGAAAAAAAGAATTAAATCGATGGAATTATGGATTATTTTTGAGGAAAAGAATTCCCGTCTTTTACTGTTTTATCAATTAAATCTGAAAAAATAATAATTCCTTTTAAAACGTCTTAACTATTTTACAATAATTCTCATCTTCCCTTCCCCGCCTTTATAGCTCATCAATTTGTTCATAAATGCGAGGTTTGATATTTATTTATTAAAATAAAAAACACTTTAAATATATTTTTAAAAAGTCAGTATAGAAAAATAAAACAGGGAATATCAACTTTTCCTTAGAGTAGCTTAATTTTGTGCCTGCAAAGAAGTTTAAAAGATTAAAAAGCAATATAACAGATTTACACAATTTAGATGTTTGACATAATAGAATAGAATAGAATACAAGTAATACAATTAATATAATAAAAAAACATCTGTAAGGGGGAAGAAGGGCTTTATTTTATTGTTAAACTGACACATAGCATCGTTGATTAATAGATAGATATAGATAGATAGATAGATAGCTAAAGTTTATTGCTAGAATACATGTATCATGTATACAGAACGAGTTTACAATTACAAATTGATGATTATTTTAACAGTACAAGTATAAAGCAATTAGGTGGAAAATAGCTCTTGTCAGTTTTAATTAATTATTATGTAAAATGTGAATTTGTTATATTTCCGAACATTTGTTTCTTCCCAAGGCTGAAATTCCATATTCTATATGATCGAAATGGTTAGTTTAATATTACTAGGAAGAATATTTTTACACTTGACAAAGCAAAAACTATTGGTATATAGATATAATATTAAAGTATTATAACGAGTAGATATAATATTAAAGTATTATAACGAGTAGATATAATATTAAAGTATTGCAACTAAAAAGTTCCTTGATTTCGCTCCTCATATTATTTGATGTTTGATATAAATTGTTATTGAAAGGATAAATTTGGTGTTGTTTTTAAAATAAACTTGTCAAGAAAACATAATCTGAATTCCAGAAGAATGAGATTGCTTTACTTCATATTAATATCAGGTATAGTAATTGATATAAATATTATATTTTTGTGGGTATTAAAATAAAGGAAAATATCTTAATTATTGAAATTTTAAAGTTTAATCACCTCCCAATGAGGTTTTTTTTTATAAATGCGTGGTATGGATTGCATCACTTTTTATTATACTGCTAAATTGATTTGTGTAATTTTGTTTTTATTGTCAAGGTTTTCTTCGCGTAACCTGCAGTAAACCAAACAATTTCAGGTCATCAATTAATCAGGTTACTACTTTTTTCTTATAACATTTTTTTATACTTGATTCGTACTTCCAAGTACAGAGATTACTATCCTTTTTCAGTGCTACTTTTAAAAGTCAAAATCATCTAGCTGTGTAACTTTAAAATTCATGATTATTTTAGCAAACATTTTTTAATTAACTTCCTGTATTCTTCTTTGTGTTCGATCAAAAATATTTCTTGCATTTTACTCATCCTTTCCTTGTTAGGCCAGGGACGTGGAAGGAATGTCGGTCTATAAACTCAAATCATTCCCTGTCCTTGGCTGGTATTTTATTTCAATGGAAGAAACGCTTAATTTCATAAATTGGATGTGGGTGTGTTGAAAGGAAGCTATGGGTTGTATTTTTTTGTATACTTTTTGATGACAATACAATTTTCAGTATGAAAAATAATTTTTGGGCGGCAAAATAAAAAATGTACGTAACTTTATTGTACGTTTGTGATTTGCATTCATCAATTTCTTATGTTACGGAATATGTACTCCGAAATAATAACGTTATTTTTGTTAAATGATACGTTATAAGTTTTGCGTAAGTTTATTCACACAAAAAAAAAATTGTGTTATTATTAGGTGTTGAAATCTCTGCAGGAAAATGAGACTCCTGTCCTAGTTCAAAAGAAAGATAGACTTAGACCAAAGATAATTACTAAATTTGATTTCCAGGTAATCTTTAGGTGGAGTTTCAGATTTGTGTGGAATAGAAATAAAACTGTTACATACAGGGTTACCCACAAAGGATGAGACTTCAGAGACGATTGTACGGAATTTATACTGTCTGTTTCCTTATATTCATGATTCCCTGCAGCTCTAAACTTGTTAGTTTCTTTGCCAAATCATTAAATAGACCATTAGATTATTATATCTCAGGCTGAATACATAAATTAACATTTGGTTTGTCACATTTCAAGACTTTTCGGTCGTCTTTACAGTCTCATCCTAAGTGGGTAACCCTTTATTAGACTCCATGCTTTTACTTGCTTGCTGTTTGCTTTATGACAATTCAACAAAACCACTTTACAAAAGTGAATTGCAAATTTCTACTGCAGAACATATTGGAATTATCAGAATCAAACCCCCTTTAAGATGAAAACGACAATATTTTCCACATTATTGATCAGATAAAGGTTTTAATACCAATAACAACAATTAGATTTATCCGATAAAGGAATTGAGTTTTTGTCACAAACTCTGATTTTCTTATCCCTATATCTTTGCATTTCAATGTTGTAGACTTTAGATATTTCAAACTATGAATTATTTTAGATCAAATAATGATAGTTTGAAATATCAAAGGTTTACACCATCAGGTTGAAAAGATATAGCGATTGTAAAATCATAATTTGTGGCAAAAACTCAGTTCCTTATTCTAAATTTCATTTTAAGCAGATATTGGTTTTCTTATCGTATGAGTATGAAGCTTATAAGACTATAAGACTGGATGGAGACAACGATTATAATAGCCCCCATGATTAGGGCAGGGCACGTTCAATTTATTTGATTTTTTAGGTATCAGTTCGTTCTTAGCTAAGAACTGAAATTTTTGTTCAGTTTACGGATTTTTGTTCTTTCTTAAAGTTACCGTATAGTAAACGTTAATTATATTATGGGCGTCCACGGTCGCCAATCGTTTACGCTTAATGCAATATAATTAATGTAAATATATCGCCCGAGTGGGAAAACAGAAGACAAAATTGAAAAACATAAAACAAGCAATGATTTATTACTTATTAAGTTTCATGAAATTTTTAGCAGAAAATAATTAACGAAATTTTGCATTATTTTTAAAAAGCATTTTCTGTTCTGTGTTTTTATGAACCGGTATTTTTATGTTTTCACCATTCTTTCTGTAATTTTATATAAAACCTGCAATTCTTTAATAGAACGTTGCCCAGTCCTATCCCTAATTATCTGCACTTAGAAACGTATGTAGCGAGAACCAGAAAGCTCTGGAATTGAAGAATGATTTTTGACTTAAGTTATTACTTTTAATAGTTTAATGAACATGAAACATTATTGCAATTTAACACATGATAGCATGGAGTTTTAAGCGTTAAAAATTCCAGAGGATGGATAGATCATCGGGAATGAAGACTCCGGCTCCAATAATGGTTTCTACAGGACTAACTGTTACTCAACAAGAACGAATACCAAAAGAGGTAAAAATATTTTTGTAAATGATTTAAAAAGGGTTTCGAAATTTTTATCCTTTCATTTTATACATTATGTATATATTACAGATTACAGATCCGTATTGTCACACCCCTCACATCTTTTTTCAAATCCTCATATAATTATAGTTCTCGATAATAATATATATATATATATATATATAATAAATAAGTAATAATATTATTTATCATTTATTTATTAACGATCAATCTTTTATAATTATTACGCACGTTTACAGCGGTTTCAAGAAAACGTTATAACCTTGCAGCAATATGACATAATCCTGATAGTCATTACACGTATTTCTTGATTACACACGATTATTTACGTCCATTTTAGTATGAAATGTTATGAAAAACTTGCACCATATATATACTATGTATTATATTATATATAATATTATGTAGTTGTGGTTGCGGATAATGGATATATTTAAATCACTGATTGTTATCGTATAGGTCTTTATAGTCCAGAAAGTGGAAAGTGAAAACCCGACCCTCATTTTTCTATCAATCTGTAGCCATTCTGTATTCTAATCTGTAAAAATTCATAGATCAATTAGAGATTAACCTCTTGGAAGATATTAAACCTTTCTACGTACGTGAACGGTAATTTCCCAGAGAACGATTTTTGGACCCCCTCTCCCCCCGGGCCCCACCCTCATATGGTTATCATTTGTCATATGGCTGCAGCGCCCGGGCGCCTATCCTGTCCTAGCCATGGTGCTCGGTCCCTAGCCTGTCCTAGTCGCAGCACTCGGCCCCCTAGCCTGTCCTAGCCGCAGCGCAAGGCCCAGAAAACAAACTATGAGTTCTGTTAGATGAAAAAATCTAAGTTTGAAATATCAAAGGTTTACATCATTAGGTGGAAAAAATATAGGTATTAGCAAATCAGAGTTTGTTACAAAGACTCAATTCCTTATGCTATCAAGATATCAATTTTTGTGTTCCTTTAAATTGTTTGTTTTTATTTGCGGGTTCTCTGTGAAAGTGGCTGGCGCATTTCTTGCTTAGAAGAAGTAATTACGAAATTATCTGATTATAACACTTATCGAGTAAGAAAGACGACGATATCTTCGACAATTTTGGCGAGAGTAAGGTTTCAAATAGAACACCTATTTTTAAAATTAATGACTGTTAAGATTGGATTTACTGGGTTGGAGAGTGCAGTAGCCGCAGCGCCCATCGTGCAGGGCATTAGGGATACTTACATAATGTTATTCATTTTTCAATTCTTTCAATGATTTAATTGAATTTTGTCATTTAATAATTTAGTCATTCAGTATAGTCTATTCATTTATTATTTTAGGCATTTATTTATTAACTCATTTAATAATATAGCCATTTAATCATTTAGCAATTAGGTAATTATTCATTTTGTGATTTAGTCATCAATCCTTTAGCTTTTTAGTTACTCATTAGTTTAGTAATTCATTATTTTAGTCATTTAGTCATTTGGTCATTTAGAAATTTAATCGTTTAAATCATGATATCTTTTCAAATAGAATTACTCGTTACATTGGTTTCACTCTTTTCTAACATAGTAATTATTATTTAAAAAACACATCATGTTTGGTACCAGGGTTCCAGATGATCCTTCAGACAACGTAATACATAGGTAGTATTTTATCTAATAAATCTCAAATTTTTATCATATTCATCAGAGATTTTCTTTCAAGGTTTAAAACTTCTTAGTTATGAAAGAAACCATATACCCTTGTTGTTATTTATTAAATTGTATTGGTCTCATGTTTACACAAAACTACGTCAAGTATTAGCTAGATACATTATTGTTAAAACGTAGGTGGGGCGTAGATATGACAATTATATGTTAGGTTGACTAGTTGGTTAATTGGCTAGGTGGTTCATAGGTTAGTTGGTTTGTTATTTGGTTGATTTGTTGATTAATTGGTTCCTTGGTTAGGCTCCTTAACTCGGACACAGTAGTCACAAATAATCAGTAAATAGATGAATTTTAAACCTGCAAAAAAATGCAGGTATAGTAAAAATAAATGGCAATGTATTAATGTAGTTGAATATTTAATAATATATCTTACTAGTTTTTCGCGTTGGAGTGAAAAGGAGTGATTAAGGGTCTGAGGGGTTTGATTCAAAAGTTTATAAATACTTCTGAAAATATAAACCCGGTTGTTTAAGTGAAATTTACTATGGATTGCAAAGTTATTTACGAATTTGATCTTTCACTTGGTAAAACGTTTCACTGTTTGTTGTTTCGGAAAGAAGGGTAGAGTCAGGGGAAATTGTTTGGTTTGGATTTGGGACTGGTAAGGCAACATTATGTAAGGGGGTTATAGGAGATAGGTTCATGTTCATCAATTATACAATATATACAATATGCATAAGTATTGAACCAGAACTTTTTGTAAAAATGAATGTGTCATATTTTTAGTATTTATTGCGGAATTTGCAATTGATGACATTTCTAATTAATATGATAAAACATTGAAGAGTTTTTTGGAAAAACTTTTTGCTAGCAGTTCATGTTTTTACTATCTAAATCTATAGATATAAAGTTGTAATCTCGGTTTGTCTGTCTATCTGTTTGTTTGTTTGTCAGATCATAACTCAGGAACTCCTGGACTAATTTGCCTCAAATTTTGATTGGGGAACTCGGGAAACCCACAGAAATGTTCTTGGCTTAGTTTTGAGATTCTAAAATGAGTGGGTCGAATTTTATGGCGAAAACTTATTTACGGCCGGTAAAAAAAAACGAGCATGTGCGGGTTTACGGCGGGAGTAACTATGAGTACCCTGTGCAACGCTGGGTTCCCAAGCTAGTATGTATTTAAAGTTGTATGTCTGTCTGTTTGTTTTTTTGTTTATCAGATCGTAACTCAGGAACTCTCGGACAATTTTGCCTCAAATTTTGATTGGGGAACTCGGGAGAGTCACAGGAATGTTAATAGCTTGGTTTTTAGATTCTAAGTTTAGTCGACTTTTAGCGGAAAAATAGCTAAAATCGTAATATACGACCAAGTGCGGGTAAACAGGGGAGAAACTATGTGTAACCCGTCAATGCTGGGTTCTCAAGCATGTTTATTAATAAATAAGTAAATTGGGATTGGATGTTGTTATACTATCCATTGTATTCAATATAAATATGTAATTAATTTTATATATGTTTATGCAGGTTTTTGTATCGTCCGTTACACTCATGAACACTGTAAATTCAATTGAACTGAGTTTGTATGACATGAATATGTGTTTTCCACTTTCATTGTAAATCTTAAAATCTGAAATAAAAATAAAATTTACAACAATGAGATACGAAATTTTCGTGGCAAAGATCAAAAGCGTCGATAAAATTTGATACAATTCAATTGAAAACAATAATACCACATATGACATATATAATAAATACTAGCTGAAATGCCCGGCGTTGACCGTGGAATTTTGAAGAAAATCGACAAATATTTATACATGAGCGAAGAGCTTTATCATATATATATATATATCTATATCTTTACTTAAATAAATATGTACTTAGATAAGTAGAAACACTTCTTACAGAGACTGTAGCCCGAAATCAAGTGACACCACTTTTGTAGAGTGGCATGTTGATTCACAATGGCACTCTATAAACCTTTGATTTTAATTATTAATAACTTTGTATGTAAGCTATGTAGGCAACTAGGATTATTGTGAAAAATATATACCTGGACAACGCTGGCACTTCAGTTAGCAAAAAATTAAATATTTATTTATTCTGAAAGTTGTGAAATTATTCGGAAATATTTTTTAAAACTACTTTAAATACTAAAATATGTAATAAATAAAAGATTTTTTCAGACTGTAGACGTAATCTTAAGTAATTCCTTGCACTTTAAAAGAGTTAGATGTCCGATTCACAACGGTAACAATAAAAGCTTTGTCTAATTAAGAATTGAATATTTTTAACTACAGCTTCTCGAGCAAAAGTAACTTGCACATTTATGCTGCAGAAATAAGGGAGGAACTTTTCGGAAATAAGCAGTTAACCAGATAGAAAATCGAAGTGAATCGGGCATGTCCCTAAAAAATGAAAAGATACTTGAAATTATGCTTACAATCCCTTTTAGGAACGGTAGGTTTATCAACAATGTATTTGTTCCTGACAATGTTGAACCTGAACTACCTTCGGAGTTTACGGTTTCTTCACAAGAAGTTGAAAACAAAAGGTGAAAATAATCATTATGTTTGCTGAAGTTTTGCATCGATAACGATGCAGAGGGTTTTCTGATATGATTTCTAAACGTTTTTTTTTAATTCATGAAACTATTTTGGAGAATGTTTGGATTTGAAATAACGAAAACGAAACGTCAATAAAGTAAACTTAAGTATAGCAATTTGGCATTACTACTTGCTATTAACGAACGTTTTTTTAACAATGTCACTTTTAAGAACAGTATAGTGTGCCATTATTAAAGCCGGTTGCGGCCGGTTTCATTTGATTCTCTAACAAACAAACGAACAAAAAAATTACTTATTACTTATATATATTATTACTTAATAGCATCCTCTCCATTCCTTTTGATTAAAAAAGAGCCGTGCTTTACTCTCACTTTAAGAAATTAAACTTGTCATATTCTTGGCTATCTTACAAATGGGAAGGTTTGTATAACATCCAAATATGTGTGATTTTTATCTATTAAAAAAAACTAAGCTTCCAAATTTCCAAAATGGCGTTTCGTGCCCATCCCCGATTTTAACTTTTAATTGTTGCTCTATTTGCGGCATGTTTTCTCCTTAAGTTATCAAACAATAACACACAAAAAATGTTCGCGAATTTATCGATTTTCTTTTCGTTGATTTTGAAAATTCTAAATTTATTTGAGGCATATTTTTAATTCTAACCATCCATAAACCTTTCATGGGGTCCTGTGAGGTCCCACATTTTTTTTACTGGAACGGTTAAGCCGTTTAGACGTTTATTGTATATAAGTATGTATATATAGTTGTCTTAAAACAAATAAAAAAATAATTTAGACAACTGCTAAGATCCGGTCGGTCTTACTGGTCTGACAACGACAATGAACAGGAAAACAAAAAATTATGAACAAATAAAAACAAAATCATTCAATGAGACCACCTTTGTTTTCTTAAATGAGAATACCGGCAAGGAGGGATTTTTTGTAAAATTCCAGTTAAAACTTTCAACATTAAAAATTACTGTCTCTGGATTTTCAAAATGTGGTGTACCATTTTTTTACCTTCAAAATTGACGGAGATATCGGAAAATTTGTACCGATTCCAGTTTATTAAAAACCAACATAACGGTTCAAATATTTAGTACCTTGGTCAATGTTAAAGATACAAAGAAGATAGACCACATTTTGAACAGCTCATTAGACTTTCAAATCTTGTTTTGATGCACTTTATATCATTTATCAATTTTAAAAAATCAAAGACAGTATTCAAGTCGTCTCTCAATTGCCATGTTAATTGGAACACCATGTAGAATAAAATATGAGGATTCGTTTGATAACAATAAAATGTTTTACGTTGTAAAATTGCTAAGTACGAGCTAGGGCAAAACCGTTCTTTTACTTATTATTCTCATTAAATCAGGGGCGTACTGGGGAGGAGGAGGGGGCGACAATCCTGTGTACCCCCTAGACATGCCCCTCTAGGCCCCCCTAGAGGCCTGATATATTAAACTTACATTTATACTCTTGTCTTATCAATTGACAATTTGTCCATTTTATGATAATTTCCCAAATTCTTTCTTTAGTCCTTATAAATCTTATTATCGGGGCTTTATTTAAATCCATATCTTAGTTTTTTGGAAAGCCTATGACATAAGGAAACGGATAACGCAAGTTTTACTAAGAAATTTTTGCAAATTATTTCCATACAACCCGATAAAAATTTGCACATCAGGTTATTTAAAATTTTGCAAACACCTTTGCATATTTTAAATGGCATGGTCATTTGGTCAAGGGTTTTTCATAAATGTATATTTTATAATTTTTGGACATTTTTTATTTGCAAAAATTTTTACTTTATAACTGAATTTTCCCAAAAAATCCAATTTTTGCAAATTTGCTATTTTTTGCAGATTTTAAAGTAGAGAGCTTTCCAATGATGTATTATTTGTCATCTTTGGACATCAAACATGACATTTAGAGGGGGTTCAAATTGCCCCCACCCGCCCAGCGTATCCTGGTTTTCAAGTACCCCAGCAGGGATAGGGTTAAGATAGCCCATAAAATTTTGTTATTTAAGCTACAGATATAAAAATTACATTTTTGAAAAGCCCTTGAAAAATGGATTTAAAAATATGTGCCTTAATAGGGTAAATATATTGTGTTTAAAACTGAACTTCTAAATGCGCTTTTTAGTGGGGTAAAAAAACAAATAAAAATTGGCTCGCTTACACACGCAAAAAGTTCACCCCCAAGACTAAGCCCCTGGTACGCCCCTGCATTAAATAATTAAAAAAAAGGAATTCATGTCTTGTGATATTTAGAGTGGGTTCAACTCTTCTCTTAAAATTTTACTTTTTAAAACTGCACTCTCAGATGAACTTTCACTTGAAATGTCACTTCCTAAAAAGCTAATAAAATGATTTTCTGTTTATTAAAAAATATTATATTTTGAAATTTAAATCATAAAAATTTGGTTTGAGGTTGACTACAATCAAAGAGAGGAGAGAAAGCTGCCTTTCAACTTTAACTTTGAAAATTTCTATGCTGGCAGAAAACAAGACATGCTCGATGCAACCGCACTTGAGAGTAGGACGGTAAGCTGTTGAATAGATGTCTAGACTGCAAGAACGCCCAGGATACCTTTGTAAACCGTACATTGAAAACTTTTTTATTGAAAACCTATTTCTACTTAAGTATATTAAATATTTCCAGAAATAACCCCCGAGTACTGTAATATACAGATTATTCTTTGAAAGTGGATTACATGGCCTGTACAATTAGTAAAGGACTAGCGTACAGCATCACTCTATATATAATATAACGTCGTTGGTTTACCCTCAAATTTCCTATAACAGTAAGAAAATTTTCCAGATTTTTATTTATAAATTCAATTATATTTTAAATTCAGAATGAAGTATACTTGAAGCCTGATGATCCCACAAACCTTTATTATGCTGAGGTTAGTTTATTAGATTAATCATTTAACATATAATGTTTTACATAGTACAGTAAAAAATTTGAAAATTTAAAACCAGTTGTAACTTGTAAATTGATCATCCAACAACTATCAAATTATTGTAGGAATAATTTTAACTAATGTTTAACAATGTTTAAATTTTTTTAAACCTTAATTGTTTCGGTGAACGCTTGTTTTTAATTGTGCTTTTTCAGGATCGGCTCGACACTCTTCATTCAGATAGATCTGCATATACATTTGAGCCTGCGGATACACAGTCCGGGTAAACAGGATGTGCATTGTGTGTACATTTATTTTACATATAGCCTAAAAAACTGTAAAGCTTTGAAGGATGCAACTTTAATAAAAATATATCATTTTGCCCTGACATCCCAGGAACTTCACCATTTCATTGAAAAATATTAAGTGAGCAGATGTAGTCAAATACAGCGTAAACTTTTTGACTCAAGTAATGATTTCAAACAGTCCAATGAACAAGAAAGACAGCAATTTTGCAATGTACACTGACCCATTTCACTGAATAAGTACTATTTAATAAACTATAATTTTGGTTTATAACAGCATCTAATAGATTGCTTGAATGTCATCTTTTTTATTTTTCAGTTTATTGGTCCCGCTGTATGTAAAAACCGGTTTTAAGGTCTTTAAGGTTTACATTTGTAAAATTTTCATAAAATTTTAAATATTTAGGTTTTCAATTCTTCCGTCTTCCATTCTCCCAAATTCAGATTTTGAAATAAAGGGACAATCTATGATATTCATAAACATTAAGATGATGATAATGATAATGATAATGATAATGATAATGATAATGATAATGATAATGATAATGATAATGATTCTGATTATGATAATGATAATGATAATGATAATGATAATGATAATGATAATAATAATGACAAAAATGAGGATAATAATGATAATAATGATAATAATGATAATAATGATAATAATAATAATAATGATAATAATGATTATAATGATGATGATAGTAACGATGATGATGACTACAATTATTATAATGATTATGATGCTGATACGTATTATGATGATGATAACATTGGGGTTGATGATTTATGAATATTTGAGAACAGGAGCAAAGCTATCAGATGTGTCCAGGATGTCCAACTTTTAATATTCCTGTTCCTGTCCCAAAATCATCATTTTATCCAACCCAGGTGAAAATTTTCCATTTTTTCAAAAACCAATTTTAGATTGTAAATATTGCTTTTCAACCCAAAATTTTGTAATATTTGTCGTCAGGTTTTGCATTAATATTTAAAAATACTTAAATTCAATATTTTTTCCAAGTAAAATATGTCAATTTTGGCCAAATTTTGGCCAGTCATAAAACTTCCCTCGGGTCATATGAGTTAACACAAAAATAATCGGCCTAGTTGAGTCAGTTGTTTAACGTTTATTATATTCAAACACAAAGACAAGCAATATATATATATAAGGAGATGTAGGATGATAAAGGGGTTGTGTACTAATTCAAAAACAAATACTGAAAGTTTTATTTTTCTTTAGATAATAATATAAAACATGCACATATAACAAAATCAGTATGCCGTAAAGTTAAATTCGTGTTAACTTTTTGTATCCCCGGGTCAGAAAGATTTTAAATCTGCAAAACACTTTTGTATAACTTTTATTTGGAAGTTTTTTTTATCAAATTTTTGCAGGATAGCAGTTATGGCGTTGGAACCAAGAAAGCCGAATCTCTTATTGACCAGATTACAACCAAGATTATTTCAACAGTAGAACCTCTAATTGTCTCCGCAAAGTAAAACACATTAATATATATCAAAATAGTGTTGTTATTCATATTGGTTCGTTATTTCACTTTGGTAAAACTTACAAAATTTTAAGATTGTCTTCAGTGAGGGGAGGAAGGCCAACCACATCAATCTCTAGTCCGAACCACATTCTCCTCATTTTCTCGTCCGAACCTACTCGAAATCCTCGTCCTTTCAATATTATTTTTTTAAAGTGTCCGATCCTTGAAAATATATACATTTTTTTAAATATGGCGACGTTAGGGCATAAAACATGACTAGAATAAAGTTTTCCAAGGATTTTGAGATGTTGGAATCTTCAAATCCACGAGAATGATGTCAAACATTATTTAGGTAAAACTTAAATCTCTTCTGCCTCCATAATGGCTAACCTTCGTGATATAAAATAAATAGAAAAATATTCGGCATACCTCTGCCTATAATTTTCCCTATGAAACCACCCGGAAAAATTCTATGGTTTTCACTATAGTTAACAAAAAAAGATTGAAGTTCTATAAACTTGGAATTATTTGCGGCATTCTACACCAGGAATATCTGAAAATGCGCGTAAAAAAGGTGTACATTTTTAAGGACATTAAACTTGAAATCTTTAATTCAATTGAAACTTTTTACTTTGATTTACAAAAATTTGATATTCCATTTATGTCCTAATGTGGCTTGATTCTTAAAAAATAGTTTTATATGGAAGGATTAGACACTTAAAAAAATAATATTGAAAGGACGAAGATTTCGAGGTGGTACGGACGAGAAAATGAGGAGAATGTGGTTCGGACTAGAGATTGATGTGGTTGGCCTTCCTCCCCTCCTTCAGTTTAAGTTTGATTTTATTAAACTTTGCATTATTGTTATCCTAAAAGAACGAACTAAAAACGATAAACGCTATGCTAAATTTTGGCCCTAAACTTTTCATAACAACGATTAAAACGTGTAATAACTATAGTAGTACTAGTAACAGTTTCTATTAAATCTTATTATGCTCAGATCTTGGCTGAACCCTGTAGATAGCAACGATATATCCGGGACAGAGCAATCTTTTAGTGACAGGTAAAGTATACAGAATTTAAAAAATGTATCTTAAAATAAGCTTCTTAATTTGTAAAATATTTTAGAATTTTTATTTTCAGTTTCAATTTCGAAACATTTTTTTTTATAGTTTGGGAATAATCTAGTTTATATTTTTGATTATAGTTATGGTTATAAAAAATCCAAGTTATTACTGAGATTATTGTTTTTTTAAACTCCTGTCTTTGTATTTTAGGCTGAGTACACTTCCATCAGAGAAGTCTGACATTTCACCATTTATGTTTGCATCAGTAGCAGCAGTAGGACTTGGTGTAGCTACATTAATATCTTCAGGACTTCAGGTATATTAATCTTTATTACAATCAATCTAATTGTAAATCTTATGTTTAAAATCACAAAATTTACCTTTTTCAGTTTTACTCGCCTAAAGCTAAATACACTTATAGGTGATGTCTTTTGGCGTTGGAAGAACATTTTCAAGTGGAAGTAATGGAAGAATAGAAGAGGCTTTAGATGACGATATCTTCAACGAAATTCAGGTTTTAAATCTAATAGTTACTTCAAGTCATTCAGTTTTGTAGTACTTGTTTAAGTTCCAATTCTGGTTCCAGTTCTAGTTTAATTCTTCTTATAACAAAAATGTTGGGGCTGTTGTCCTAGTTCTTGTCCAGATGTCACCCCTACATCGTAATAAATTTAATCTTTCTAGAAGTTTAGAATTTAAAATATGCAATCGTTACAAATTCTTGATCTTAGATTACCCATCCCAGACCTGTTCAGCCGATTCCCTAATCTCATAGTTATTAAATTCAATGATCTGTTAAATAAAGCCTCAGATAACATAGAAATTATGGGATGACTTTCGAATCTCATGTTGCCTTTCGGCAACATTGATTAATAATTGATATATAAAAAAAAGATGAACCTTTTCTGAGATGTTTATTTATACAAAGGCTGTGCACATAGATTCAGTCTGCTTATAAAAAGTCTCATCAATTTTTAGTACATGGTCGACTTTGAAATGTTACAACGCCTTGGGCTTTGATTTTACAGCTCTAACTTACTTTTGCTTTTCTGTAGCCCTTTACATGTACATTTTAGCACTATACAGTAATTGTTGCTAGCTTCAGTGTTAAAGACGTAATTGGCAAAATTCTCATAGATATTTGCTAGGGAGCTCGCAACCTTTATGGATATTTAGATATTTTTCAACATAACCCCAGCAAAACTATCTTTTAAAATTTGGTTTGCACATTTGTTGGTAATTTTTATCAAACTTGAACTAAATCATGTAGGATCATGCGTCAGATGCGTAATATGATAATGTGCTTTCGTAATTGCGACGCAATTGCTTTCTCAGACACATGAGATCTCTCTTTGAACTTTTAATATAGGACAAGCTTCAAGTTTGAGACATGTTTCTTAAATAAAAATGTTCATGAGTATTATATTAAAATTAGCCCATTATGGGAGAAAGCATGATTTAAAGTAAAAAAATTTGCATGTATACTGCTTCGCGTGGAGATTATAAAATGTCCTTCTCCTTTTTTCGTGGTAGAATCTTTCATCTGAAAGGGGCCGGGTATATTTTTCTCAATACAAAGTCGCAAAAAATGTCCCAAAACATCTTCTATTTCGTTCAAATGGGGTGTACAAACAAATAAACACACCCACGTAGTAGTTAGCTGAGTTGAATTTTAGCACTAACTTTTAATACTTTGGGCGCCATTAAAAAAATGATATTTTTAACTTTTCCTTGGGCTGTTTTAGCTCGGTGCTCGGACTCCTATACCTATCCACGCTGATTTATTAGTGAGACTGCAAAGATCAGCGTAGACTAAGTAAAGCCCACTTCTCTTGTCAACCTTACGTGGATTTAGCAGTTCGATCCTTTTCCCCGCAAGTTGACCTAATATCTATCTATCTGTAGGCTGATTATGATCCATCAAACGCCCTGTGTTTACCGCGACATTTCTGTGAGAAAATGAAAAGAAATAAACATATTCTTGACGAATTCCAGAACACTAAGAAGATCGGAAGATGGACAATTGACAGGTTTGCCTTCATTAACTTTTTTTCATAATCAGAATAACTGTTCACAAATTCAAACCCATCTTAGCCGTGAGTTCCTTTTTATTCTTTATAATCAAATTGTCGCCAAAATGAGTAAATTATTTTCAACAAATTTACATTTTTTTACTAAAACAATGATTCTTTGAATTCTCTTCAATTTGGACTAAATTATCTATATTCAAATGCAGTTTATAAAAAAATAAAAAATAAAAAAACTTTCTCGTGTAAAGAAACCAAAACCTCACTCTGAAAAAAGAATACATAAAAACTTATTTGATATCGTGAACTGATGTAATGCATGATATAAAAATCTATTTACTGTGACGCTTATTAACGTCAAGTCTCATGCGTAAAGATAACCTTGGCCCTGGTGTCTCAACTATACCATTGCACAAAGCCTCATGACCTTCAAAATTTGGAAAATTAATATGTAATTAACAAAAGTTCATATTTTGCCAAAAGCAAGAAGGATTAAAAAATATAGATTGGAATCAAATAAATAGAACAAAACAATTCGTAAATTTATTTATTCGAAAACTTATTTTGCTACGATTTAAATGTAAAATGTTCTTTATCATGAGGACAACAATTGTTTAACGTTAGAAACCTTAAAAAGGACCGTAAGCATTATTTCAAGTAACCTTCCTGCAAAGACGGTAATACCGGATTCGCAATGGTATTTTTAAAAGCTTTACCTTGACAAGTTTGAATTAGATATTAATGTTTATAATTTTGCAAACTGCAATCTTTCAATTGTGGTTTTCTTACAAAAGTGAATTGCGCATTTTTAATACAGAAAAACATATTGGAATTAACAAAAATAAACTAAATTTTTTCCACATTATTGATCAGATAAAGGATTTTATGGACCACTGTTGTAAATCGGGCATTGCATGGAGGATCACTTGACATTTCGCTTACAGTTCCTTGAAAACAGACACATCATATTCATTATATTTGATTGCACATTGCTCTCAGTTATGTTTTAATGAATTCGGTCCTATTTTTTTTAAATGGTGAATTCTCCTTTAAACGTAATTGTTCAGTTATTATCTTCCTATAAACTAGCTGAAGTGCCGGGTATTGGCCTTGGAATATAAAAAAACTTATATTTAGATTTTTTAAGCCTTTGTTACCCCAGGAACACCTCTGGGTTCCCTAAAAAAAATTCAGCCCATTTGGTCCAGCCGTTTAGCCGGCTATAGGGAACATATATATGAATGTCTTGTTTTACTTTTTGTGGATTTTTATCTGTTTTATTTCAGATTGTTCGACACAGACACTGTTTATAAGAAAGGAGAAGCACCGTTCTACAATCAGTGTAATCTTAGAGAATGTATTTATTCGCTTTTATCATAATTCATTATATTGATAAAAATACTGTTTTTATACAGGGTTACCCGCAAAGAATTAGAGTTTGGGACAACACTTATTGTGACTGTTCTTTATATTTATGATTCCTTACAACTTTAAACTTGTTTCTTTTCATGCCAATTAAACCACCTGAGAAAGTCACATTCTAAGAGTTTCAGGTCGTCTTTACAGTCCCATCCTTTGTGGGTAACACTGTCTATCCTTATAATATTTACAACAAGTTGAAAAATCATGGAAATAATGAATCTTTAATCTAATCGTTTACACTTAAGAAATTTTTCTTTGGAAAAATAGTCTTATGGTAAAATTTCATTGGTAATTAGTCACTTAATAAGTTACTTCGGGTGGTGTCTTTGTAAAGCCTTTAACCACCGATTGATACTGCATTACTAAAGCAGGAAATTGTTTGAAAGTTATACAAATGTCAAATATTTTGTAAAATGTAAAATGGTGCATGATACTATCGTGTTGTTTTGTTAAATCAAATATCAAGGCTTTAATATATTTTATTTTGTTGTCCACCCGGTTATTTCATATCTAGTCTTATTTGTTTTTATTTTCGTAAATCTTAGTCAATTGTTCAAAATGGTAATATTTAAAAATCGTTTTAGCAATATATAGGAAAGCTGAAAAAAAGAGAATGGCTTTTTTTTGCTATTAAAGTCGATCCACACATCTCAGATTCTCAAACCCGAGCTAAAAACATTCCAGTGTTTTTCCGAGTTACAGGATACAAATTTGAGGCAAATAGGTCAAGAGGCTCATTAGTTATAATCGGACATGCAAACAAACAAACACAATAACAGAGATTACAACTTTATTTGTATTCTAGCTTGGGAACCCAGCACTGTCAAAGTTACTAAAAATTACTCCCGCCGTTTATCCAAACTTGAACGATTTTACGGGAAACAAATTTTTTGCTATTAAAGTCGTCCCAAACTTGACTTAGAAACTCAAAATCAAGCTAAGAACGTTCCTGTTGGTCTCCCGAATTCCCGAATCAAAGTTTGAGGCACATCGGACATACCGGGAATATATATATATTAAAAAACATTTTGAACAATGACTCTGGTTTAATCATATATGTTTTTAAGTGCAATTAGTGCAGTTTATGCCCATATTTCAAATTTTTTATACCAACAAATGTACTATACAGTTTTTGCCAAGATAAAATTTAATCTTTATGTTCAGTTTATTTACAGCAATTGCGTTTTACAAAGAACGTACACAGAAATAGGACTAGACACATTCTGAATTTTTTAGCTGTTTGTTAACGGTTAGTTTTCACCGGTAAACAAATTGTTTTCAGGAAGCCGTTCGTTTTTTAGCTAAAAACGTATATGTTCCTTTTTTAAAAGGTTTCGTTAGTTAACGATATTGATATTATTAACGACGTTAACGGCAAATATATTAGATATTCTTAACGGCGTGAGTCATCAACGAGCCGTTGCCAATTAAAACTTAAAATGTGAGATAGGCCAGAAGCGCCCTGGAAGCCTAGTATAATACAAAGGAACTAAGTTTTTGCGTGAATACGAATTTTCTCACCCATATATATTTGCAACCTNACGTTTAACGTTCACGTTATATAGAATATATCCAAACGTTACACATTATTGTAACGTAACGTACAAAAACGTACATTTTACGTTATGTTACACTATCGTTGACATCTCTAGCCTAGATAGATACTGAACTCGGGCAGCTAAACGATTCATCGAGTCGGAGAAGCTGCCTAGATAGATACGGAACTGGATCAGCTAAAGCAAGATATTGAGATTAAGGAAGCTGCTCAGACAGAGACTGAACTAAAACAGATGGACCACAGTTTCTCAGATACCATAGAGAGCCGATTTAACAAGAATAATCTTAAACAGATGTATTTAGATCAATAAACTGAAAAGCTGATGAAATCCATTCATTTATACCCTGAGAGATAAATATAGAGAGAACATTAAAGAGATTTATGAAACAAAGTACGGGGACTTAATGAAAGAGATTAATACACGCCCTAAACAAAGGGAGCAAATGATTGATCTCGAAAATCCCTAAGATTTATGTCTGTAATCGTAATCGATAGAATAGCGTTAATCATTACAATTGGAAGATGAAGGTTGGGAAGATGAAGTTTTAGAAGATGAAAGGTGGGAAGATGAAGGTTGGGAAGATAAAGGATTTGAAGATGAAGTTTGTAAAGATGAAGGTTGGGAAGATGAAGGTTGGGAGGATGAAGGATTGGATGATAAAGGATTTGAAAATGAAGGATGAAGGTTTGGAAAATGAAGGATTGGAAGATGAAGGTTGGAAAGAAGGCCCGAAAATAAATAAAGTTGGGTGTAATTTCAAAGCAATTAATTCTATTTCATCTTTCATCGTATGTCAGATTTGGCAACTAAGCATGAAAAAGGTGTTAAAATCGAAGAGAAGCAAAACCAGCTTTACACTTTTTTGACCTGTTCTAAATAGATAAATTGCAATCTTTGTCAAAGTGCGATAAAGCAAAAAACTAGGCCACTAACTAGAGATGGGCATCGTTTTTGCGAACATGTGATATTTTTGAGAACGAAAAAAATATTTCGTGAAGGATGGTGTCGTTCAAAAAAATGCCCAGCGGGCAAACGATTTAGATCCTTCAGAGAAATGAAAAAACTATCGTTTTTTAGCTGAACGAACGAAATTGGGAATAAACTTTAAAAAAACGATCGTTTATTTTATGAACAAAGGATTTTACTGAAAAAACGATTTTACCATTCAGTTTGAAAAAGAAAGAAATAGATGAAAAATGAATGATAATCTTAAGAACGAACGTAATTAATTTGTTGAACGATTAAAAGATTAAGCTACCAACTTTGTGGACATATAATATCAAGTCATATACGCTTTATGTTATTTACACATTGAGTGAATTAAGATGTTAACGCCGTTTGCATTACCTAGTCCCTCGGTCTATCCTAGCCGCGGTGCTCGACCCCTGTTATTAATAAATGGCATACAAAAATGTGGCTCTCACTTTTCTCACCTTATCTAAAAAAGTTAAAATCATTGAAAATCAACTTGAAGGTAAATATTGATATGATCGTAAAAAATGTTAATAAAGAATTAAAATACAGCAGTTTCAGACTTTTAAACAAATCATTTTGTTAAGATGACATATTTGATTTGAAAATTATGAAATATCTTGATAAAAGTAAATATGATTCAATGTGAATGTCGCGCAATATCCTCTCAACTATTTGCAGGTAAAACTACTTGGCTAGTCTACTCAACCCTCAGTTTGATTTCAGAATTCATGAGAAACACAACTCCATCAAGTAGCTGTAATTTGATTTAAAAGATAACAATTGTAGTTCGCTTATGCTGAATATTTTGTGGGATCTGTTTTATCTTCTTTATTCTTCCGGAATTACTTCAATCTTCTGTTTCATTTTTTTAGACTTCCAAGATCGGCCATCATGTTGTTGTAACAATTTTTTAAACTGTTTTTTTTTCACCTTTTTTATCTATTATATAATTTTGTATCATTTTCATCTTAACCCTATTCATGCTGTAGTTTTATTTACATAACTCAAAAAGTATTGGTCTGAGGCTGTTGAAATTTTCTGACTTTTCTTACATACCCAAAGCCCTCCCTTTAGGCCTAAAACCGGGCTTTAATACTAACTGCGTGAGTCCGCAGGCACGCTGCCTGAAAGACTGATTTTGCATGTAACAAACTAAATCTTTGTTTTGACCCACTTTCACTTGTCAGATTTTGATAAAATTTAGCTTTTTACAATTTTTGCAAATTTGCAATTTTTTTGCAGATTCTAAAAGTAGAGCACAAGAGCTTTCTAATGATGTATCATTTGTCATATTTGGACATAAAACATGGGATTTAGAGAGGGGGTGTCAAATTGACCCCCCCCCCTCCAGCATATCCTGGTTTTTAAGTAACCCAGCAGGGATAGGGTTAAGGGTAATAAAATTGTGTTCAACTTCTTTATAGGAAAATTGAAAATTTTACTTATTTTACTGGTTCCCTCGACTAAATTTTACTTATCCACTGGTTCCCTCGACTTAAGGAATTGAGTCTTTGCCACAAACTCTGATTTTCTAATCACTATAACTTTGCAACCAAATGTTGCAGACCTTAGATATTTCAAACTATGAATCCTCTTAGATAAAATAATCTGAGTTTGAAATATCAAAGGTTTACAACATCGAGTTCTAAAGATATTGAGGTTTAAATATTTGATTTTGTTCCAAAGACTCAATTCCTTTGTCCTGGGAACCCTTGGTAAAATATAAAGTCAAATTTCCTTAACTTAACAGAAAAACAGTTGTATATAATTATAAACGGTATAAGATCATATTACCAGAAAAGCAGTTGTATATAATTATAAACGGTATAAGATCATATTACCAGAAAAGCAGTTGTATATAATTATAAACGGTATAAGATCATATTACCAGAAATAAGAATTGACGTTTAAGTTAGAGTGTTGAGATGTGGATGTTAGAATTATAGAATTGGTTCAACTGACCGTGAATAGTTTTACTACTTCTCAACATTATTTGATCTTTATCTTAGTTATTTATACTCTAAGATATAAACTTTGCACTAGAGGGGTTTCCTCTCAAAAATAATTGAGCCTTTTCACAACTCAAATTTTCTTATTCCTATATTTTTGCAACTAAATGGTTTAGTTGATGGATTAAAAATGAGAATTTGTTGCAAAAACTCAGTTTCTTTGAGTTCTTTTGTAATATTATCTTCTAGTATATACTTTACACACTACAGCCTACAGTCTACAATCTAAGTGCTTCTCTAGGGTTAAATTTTTTGTGCATTGCGTTTTTTTATCTGTATTCTTATTCTTTTTCGTTCTTTTCTATTTTCTGTATTCTTATTCCTGGGTTTTCAAATATGTTTCTATCTTTCTATGTAACTAAAATCATCTATTCATTTCTGTAAGTTCTGCACATTTAATTCAAATTGAAAGCATACATTTCTCATAACGATATCGCAAGAGGGGGATTAAAGGGGAATGCTTAGGAATGATTCAATATCAAACAAAATTTTATTTTTGATATTACTTGACTAAATTAGTTTCAACAATATTTTAGAAAAAAATGGCTGATAGAAAAGTGCCAGCCTGGACTAAACCCAGGAAAATATCAATTTAATTTTGGAACTAATGGCATTTAAGTCTATCAATTAGTGTAACTTATCTTGATCTTGACAAAGATTAAAAAAAACGTTTTTTTTTTGAAAAATACTTGCTTTGGAAAAGTTAATTGATTTTCTACACATCTCACAAAACTAAAAAGAAATAAATAATTGTACATTCTTCTAGAATGAAAATTTACGAATACAACAGAGAGTTTGGAGGAAAATATTACCAGGTAAAAAACTGTGTAGTGAGTCTCTTTAGATACCAGTTGACGTAGATAATGTTTACCAATAACAACTGAACAGCGTAAAATAGTTCATTTATAAAGCATTCATTATGTGAAAATATAAACCTTCTGAATCTAACTCGGTCGTTCATATCATATCTTACCGTGCATAACCAATCTTTATTAGCTATATGTACTAAGCTTGACAATTGAGATGCGACTTAAGGATTATATGTGCTCCCAATGACAAAGTGTGCAGAAAAAAGATTGTTTGACTTTCATTCGTGTGTTTTTTTTCAGTAATTTTTGTGTATTTTTATTATTTTGTTAGCCAATGCTGGAGTACATTGAACAGAAGGAAACCCAAGGAGTATTCTTCCCACCAAGGTAATTTATTCTAGCGTTGCTTCCTTATAACGCCTCCAGTATTCTATTCTCAATTCTTGTTCATCAGCTGAAATTTATTAAACTTCTCACTAAATATGATAAAAGGCTAAAAAATATATATTTATTGATTTATTTAGGTCAACCCTCGAGAAAGTACATTTACCCGAACCTGCTGAATTATCTAGATCATCTTTGTAAGTCCTTTTTATTTTCATTGTTGGAAATCTCAATTCATTTTAAAAAAACCACTTATATTCAGGGAATTTTAATGTTCTTTTGCTCAATATGACCGCACTATTTTACTATGTATCCTATCTCAACCAATTATTTCAAATGTCCCTAACCAACACTTCATTGCTGACAGCTTATTATTTCAATGCATTCTTATTAATTGAACGAAAACTGTACATACCTAGTCAAGACTCAAGGTTGGTGTTATGACATTTAGAGATTGGTATTTTCAAGACAGTTTTTGATAAATAAAACCATGTTTTAAAGGGACTTTTAAGGTAAAAGTTAAAGGTGGAATATGCTGAAATTTTAGGAAAAAAATATTTTTGAATAAAAACTTCTAATTTGTTTTTAATACGTTACAACCAAGGTACCCATGGGGATTTTTGTTTTCACAATTTCACAATTTAATTTTTTGTTTCCACAGCAATATTCCTAGAGGCTACCTTTATAGATAATGTTTTAGAAGATTTTTTAAATTAATATTGCAAAAGGAAAAGTTTATGAAACGCGTATATGTATTTTTAAAGGGACTGAAAGCGTAATTTTCGGTGACCACACAAGCGACCATCCAAGAAAAGATGGCAATGGTGGATTCACAACGGTATCCATAAATCCATTGTGTAATCAAGTATGAATTAGATATCAATTTTTATGATTTTAAGAACCGATTATCTTTAAATTGAAATTTCTCTACTAAAGTAAGTGGAATTATCAGAATCAAACAATTTCAATCTATTAAAACAAAAACATTTTCCATATTATTGATCAAATAAAGATTTTTTAGGGGTTATCTTTTTTGAATCGTGGCATTTTCATCTTTGCATGGAGTGTCACCAAAAATATCACTTACAGTTAGGGCTAGAGCTAGAGCGTCGTTACTGGGGAACGATCGTTCTTTCAAAAGAACAAACAGAACGATGAAGAACAATCCAATCGTTCTAAAAAAAGAACAAACGCATAGAACGCGTTCTTAAAAATGTTGTAACGATTTGTAAAGGAATGAAAAAGAACGGAAATGTTTTAAAAGAACGTTTAAAGTCAGGAACGAGTTCATATTATCAAGAACGGGTTCTAAGTCGAGAACGGATTTTAAATCAGGAATGTGCTCTAAATCATCTAGAAATAATTGAAAGATTTTTTTTTGTATTTGATCACCTTGGCGTTCTTCGACTAAAAACGCCAAGAAAGGAACGAAACGGCTTTTACTCAGAATGGAACGGAACGGAACAGATTGAAACGAGAACGGAATGATTGAAAAAAGGAACGAGAACGGAACGATCTAGCTACAGGCCCTCGTTCTAGAACGGAACTGAACAATTCAAAAAAAGTCGGAACGTGCCCAGCCCTACTTACAGTACCTTTAACTGCTATGCGTATTGTGTATTGATCAGAATTAGAGTAATTAAATCACATATTATGTTTAACTTTAGTTCCAGCTCAATGTCAGATGTTGATTACTTTCTTGAAAATTCATACAAGAAGCAAATTAGAGAATCAAACCAAACCTCAGGTTGATTTGTAATAAAAAACATAAAATTTAAAAGTGACTTTCTCTGATTTTAGAATTACATAAAAATTTCAGAATTATTTCAAGTTTTTATTATTCACAAATTCTGAAATAGTTTAAATACTATTTTTATTATTACGTTTTGTCATAGTTCATACACTAAATGCTGCAGTAAGACAGTCTAAACAACAATCTCATCTAAACCCTATTCTACCCTGTACAATGGTCAGGTAATTAAACAAGATATTATTCAAAATTGTATGAATCAACAAAAAATAAAACTTTTTGATTGAAAATGTTAGTAATAGTGTTTTAAATAACTAAAATTATTTTTAAAGTAAAGTGGTCGTTTCTAACAATAAAAAGGAGACGACTTTCTATTTTGATTTTTGATTTCTATCAAGCTTTCAAACACATTAACACGGAAACAAAGACAAACTGTCAATTAACAGCTTTTCCTTGTTTACCTGTAAACTTGTAATTTGAAAAAAGCTTGTCAGAAATGAAAACTTGAATAGAAAATTCTTAATCTCTGTATTGAATTACCGCCGAACACTGTATTTTAAGTTCTGACACATTTACTCTAATTCATTTTCACAGGAATCACTATATCAAAGAAATTGCTCGGCTCAGAAACTCTACAGTTTACCCAGCGCTAGACTTATAATGCTCACAATTTGTAATGTTTTAATATACTTTAAACTAATAATAATTGTGAAATCCTTTTAAATCAATGGTCCCAAGAACTATTACAATAATTTTTGATTTTCTTTAGACATGATTTTTAAATAAATGTTACACTTTTGTTGTTGTTATTTAATTAACAGTAAAAACACAAAACAAAGTAAATCAATAAATGTTTTATATCTTTTATTTAAATATATATTATCTTGTAATCTACACCATTCTTAATAAATAAATTGTAAATTTGTTTATATGTTTGATTCAATATGTACCTATGTGTTACGACAATATTTTTATCGTTTGGAATTAGAATATTAGCTTCAAGAATTGTTGGATAGGCCAGCCGGTTAAAAGACATCTCCTTAAAACTCCTAAAACTAAAACTAGTTCTTTGAACTATTATTCTAAAGGTTTGACCAAACTTTGTATTATTAAGTCAATTATTTAACCAAAATATAACCATTTTTAGCCAAAAATATATATCTTTTTTAACCATTTTTGACTATAAATATAACTACCAATAACATAACAGACCAAAAATATAATCATATTCGACCAAAATAGGTTTTATCTCATATCTGCCCTGTCAATGTATGCAAAGACTTTACATGAATACTTGTTGCATCCTGTGCATATGTAAATTTTCTTTTTCATACTCTCTTTTAGGTATGCCCACTCTTGTCCACTCAAGTGTCGTCCCTTTCTGACAGGAAATAAATGTGTACATCCTACTCGTAGAGATAGATATTTGACACAGATTCTTCGTAAATTGCAAAGTTTCCTTTATTAACTAGAACATTTTTCTTGTAGAGATCACAAACTAAGAATCCCAAGAGATGGAGTGTTCGTATGAAAAGCCTATTTTTTGTAAATTAATCATATATATTACACGAAAAATTAGTTTTAAAGGATGTGAAAAGCCCATTTTATTGTAAAATAACTAATATTTTAAACCAAAAAGCAAATGAAAATATTAGAAAAAATATTTTAATGAACTTTTTTTCTGTAACTCATTAGGTTTATGAAATAAGATTTGTATTAAAAGATTTTAATATCAGTAAAATATCTTGTATGTGTGAATCAAATTATTCCCTAAAAGAGGGAAATGAGTTTTCGAAATGTGAACCATGAATTGTGTGTCTAGAAATTTTCTGTCAGAAAGGATATTTAGATTGGTCTGTACCAAATGAAAATATGACAAAATTTGAAAAATTTGAAAAAAAAACAAAATTGTGATTTGCTTTATTTATGGAATAAAAGTTTAATTATTTACAAGAAAATCTTCTTATTTGTCATTAATTTAGTAATGATTTAGGATTTTTTTTTGTAAATTTCGCGATTTCTTAGACATTTGACAGATTCGTCTAATGAAATTTGCGACAATTTTATAGATGAGAGATTTGAAAATTAAAACAATTTACAATTATGACATTTGACAGATGTGACATATGATGCATGCGACTTATTGACATATAATGTAAAAATAACATTTCCCAAATGTTTTCTTAAATTATCTTTTTCTTCATGTATGGATTGCAAATTTGATAAAAAAAAAATACTAACTGATTTTTTTGTTAATTTCATAATTTTTTAATTTTTTAGACTTTTTACAGAATCGACTTATGACATTTGCAACAGTTTTATGGATGAGAAATTTGACAAGTGAAACAAACTTTTGAATTATGACAACGGAAGTCCGGCTAGATTTAACTTAAATGACTCCAATTCTAGTGTTGACTCTGTTATGTTAGATTTTCCCAAAAATCTTAAGACTACTTATGAACCGGCCAATAATTATGAACCAAAATATCATCCCTCTGTAGTTGTTATAAACTCAAGAAAGCAAATAACTTAAAACTCCTTCTGAATGAGCTTGATTTGGATATGCTCTAATATCAGAAACCTGGGAGCGAGTTCTTCCTAATCTTCAAATGTTGACTGATTCTGAAACATACGATGTTATATCAAAAAAAAACTGGTCATCCCGGTGGTGGAGTTGCAAGCCTGGTTGAGAAAACCTATTAATATACTTGACCCTGACCTTAACCCCCTCAAGGCATAAAGGTTATTTGGCAAATTTTGAGAGTAAAGGTCAAAAATAGAATATTCCACATTGGTTTATCTGTACTTTATGTTCCACCAAAAAGAATAATATTGATTTGTATTCCTTCATCAGTAAAATAGGAGTAGATAGAAATCAAAATTTAATTCAAATATTTTGGGATTTTTTTTTGTAAATTTAATTTTTTCTTAGACATTTAACAGGTGTGACTTATGACATTTGTGACAATTTTTATGGATGAGACATTATTTTTTAGTAAATTTTTTAGTAAATTTTTTTCAATTTAAAAAGAAAAACATGATTTTGAAAAAATTTATTTTGCAGATATTTTTTTATTTAGTATATGAAGGTGTTTTATGTCAAGTTTTGCGTTCCATACATGTATGAAGGTTTTTATAACAATTTTTTCACAAGAATGAAAAAGATTTTCTACTTTTTAATGACAAATAAGAATTTTTCCTTGTGAATAGTTAATTTTTCATTCCATACATAAGGAAAATCATAATTTTGAAGAATTTTTTTTCAAGATTGTTTTTTATGTCATAAGTCGCATGCGTCCTACGTAGTATATGTCAAATGTCATATTTTAATTATAGACAAATAAGAAGTTTTCCTTGTGAATGATTTAATTTGATTCCAAACGTGAACAAAATCATAATTTCACAGATTTTTTCTTTACGGCAGTGCTTTTTTATGCGACATATGATGCATGCTTCATATGTCGCATACCTTATATGTCGCATCTGTCAAAAGTCATATCTGTTAATTGTTTTACTTGTCAAAAGTCGCATCTTTCAAAGGTCTACGAAATTATGAAATTAACAAAAAAATGTCCAAAATTATTTTTAATTAATGTTTCTACTAAATTAATGACAAAAATGAAGTTTTTCTTGTGAACAATTAAATTTGCATTTATTTGCTTTATTTTCAGGTTAAATAATGTGGAGGATGAAATTTTCCTAATCTCTGGCCTCTGATGCATGATGATGCATAACCAAATGTTTAATTTTATTCAGTGTATTATGGTGTATCTATAAGAAATTCAGTAAAGGANTGATGTGTTTCTCATCAGGCTCATCTAAAAGACAGGGCTCTACCATGTTATCATAGTTCTTCATGATTTTAGAGCCATTTTGGTTATAAGCACTGCAGGATTTCTTCAAATCTCCAAAGGTGCGTAGGACTCCAGCGGCGTCTGTAAGTAAGAAAAGGAATTGCTAATTTCTTTGCTTAACAAATTTAACTTTATCATGATATTTTAAAATATGAACATAAATGTGTTTTTTTTCATTGAAAATGATAAAAGTGGTCAAGTAACATTTAACAACAACTCCGTTACAGTACAGGCAGCAGTGTTTGCCTCCATGAGAACTCAGCCCCAAAATAATGTTGTGCAGTTTCAGATCAGATGCAAGTGAAAATTGTTTTCAAGTTAGTCTTGTTAAACAAAACACTCATGGTGTTGGGCTCAGTAACATTTTGCCTAGTACAAGTTCGCCTAGTACACTTTCGCCTAGTACATGTTCGCCTACTAACTTTTTGCCTAGATAACATTTTGCCTAGATAACATTTTGCCTAAACACAGTTTGCCTAGACAACATTTCGCCTAGATAACATTTTGCCTAGATAACATTAGAAGGTAATTTTCGCCTAGATTATCATTCTTCAAACTAACCAGCTTTTGGAACAAAAAAATACGCAATTTTTACTGTAAAAATTTCACAATTTTTTTTTGTAGTTCTCGGGTATGTCTGATACCGCAGCAATATAGATAACCTTGTTCACTCCATTATCCTTAGAAGTTTAAATTGTCAGGCTCAAAGATATTCATAATCATTTTTAAGGATCCTCCCCCACCGTCAATTCCAACTCTGACCATAGATTTAAGTGGATCTAAACTTCTATGCTCGCAAATATGAAATATTAAACTTGAAATGTTGTACACATTACCAAATCTTTTTCCACGGCTTGAAAATTTACTTTGTTTCCGACCTTAACTTTCTTAGTAAATTCTACTTTTTCTGTAACACAAAATTCTTCAAGAGAGTGAGAACGTTCCTTGATTTTCTTGGAGGAGTTGGACTCCACTCCTAGATATCCTGCAATAGAGTCTACCACAGGTTCGGCAAGATCGTGCTTTATTTTCAGGTTAAATAATGTGGAGGATGAAATTTTCCTAATCTCTGGCCTCTGATGCATGATGATGCATAACCAAATGTTTAATTTTATTCAGTGTATTATTGTGTATCTATAAGAAATTCAGTAAAGGACCTAAAATACCTATTTCTTTGAATAATCTCCGCAAATTTTAGATAAGAATGAAGGTTGTAAATCCCCAGAACTTAAAGAAGCAGTCTCGAACATATCCTACATTTAAATATATTTATTATTAATCTATTTACAATAGTCCTTCAAAATACAGTGTGCCCAGCCCTAATAAGACACAAAATTATGTCAACACCATGATCTGTCATTGCAACTTTTAACCCTATCCCTGCTGGGGTACTTGAAAACCAGGATATCCCATGCCCACTTCCATAGCAACAAAAAGCACTGGTGAATAATGGCATTCAGTTTAAAATTTTGTAATGCAAGTCTTCCCACATTACACCTGAGGAGGGGTGTTGTATAAAAGGTGGGAAGATTAAAGNCCCCCCGCCCCCCCTTGTATCCGCCCCTGTTTATTCATAATTACTTTTAGTAAATATTTCATAACATACCTTTGAAACGCGGAATAAGTTTCATCCTCTCACCAGTTAGAATCCATTTCATCTGGACCTCGGTTGAGATAAACTTCTCTTTCTCCAATTCACGAAGATGAGCTTTGAAGATATGTTATAATTAATAAATAGTGAGAGTCCCAAAAAACTATAACCATAAAACCCAGTGATATTGTATCTAAACCAATGATTCACGGATTATATAGTTTTCTAATTTTTTAAATCAAAATCTACCCAAATGCCTACTTTGACCCTACGAAGGAATTTCGAGAGTTTTGTTCAATGATACTCTCTTAAATGTATGGCTCCGAAGTACAGATGGAGTACACTAGAAAAACC